TTTACAGCTGAATTTTACCAGATGTGCAAAGAGGAGCTGGTACCATTACTGTTGAAACTATTCCAAACAATATAAAAAGAGGGAATCCTAACTCTTTCTATGAGACCGATATTATCCTGTTACCAAAACCTAGCAGAGACACAACTAAAAAAGAAAACTACAGGCCAATATTTGTGATGAACACTGATACAAAAATCTTCAATAAAATACTGGCAAACCAAATCCAACAGCTTATCCACCACAATCAAGTAGGGTTCATCCCAGGAATGCAAGGCTGGTTCAACATAGACAAATCTATAAACGGAATCCACCACATGAACAGAACCAAAGACAAAAACCACATGATTATCTCAATTGATGCAGAGAAGGCTTTCGACAAAATTCAACAGCGCTTTATGCTAAAAACTCTCAATAAACTAGGTATCGATGGAATGTATCTCAAAATAATAAAAGCTATTTATGACAAACCCACAGCCAATATCATACTGAATGGGCAGAAACTAGAAGCATTCCCTTTAAAAACTGGCTCTAGACAAGGATGCCCTCTCTCACCACTCCTATTCAATATAGTATTGGAAGTTCTAGCCAGAACAATCAGGCAAGAAAAAGAAATAAAGGATATTCAATTAGGAAAGGAGGAACTCAAATTGTCTCTATTTGCAGACAACATGATTGTATATTCAGAGGACCCCATTGTCTCAGCCCCAACCGTCTTTAAACTGATAAGCAACTTCAGCCAAGTCTCAGGATACAAAATCAATGTGCAGAAATCACAAGCATTCCTGAATACCAGCAACAAACAAACAGAATCAAATCATGAGCAAACTCCCATTTATAGTTGTTACAAACAGAATAAAATACTTAGGAATACAGCTAACAAAGGATGTAAAAGATCTCTTCAAGGAGAACTACAAGCCACTGCTCAAGGAAATAAGAGAGGACACAAACAGATGGAAAAACATTCCATGCTCATGGTCCGGAAGAATCAATATTGTGAAAAATGGCCAAACTGCCCAAAGTAATTTATAGATTCAATGCTATCTCCATCAAGTTACCATTGACTCTTCACAGAACTGGAAAAAAAAAAACACTTTCAACTTCATATGTAACCAAAAGAGAGCCCGCATAGCCAAGACAATCCTAAGCAAAAAGAACAAAGCTGGAGGTGTCACGCTACCTGACTTCAAACTATACTACAAGGCTACAGTAATCAAAACAGCATGATACTGGTACCAAAACAAAGATATAGACCAATGGAACAGAACAGAGGCCTCGGAAAGAATGCCACACATCTACAATCATCTGGTCTTTGGCAAACCAGACAAAATCAAGAAATGGGGATAGGATTCCCTGCTTAATAAATGGTGTTGGGAAAACTGGCTAGCCATATGCAGGTAGCTGAAACTGGACCCCTTCCTTATACCTTATACAAAAATTAACTCCAGATGGATTAAAGATTTAAACATAAGATCTAACCCCATAAAAACCCTAGAAGAAAACCTAGGCAATACCATTCAGGACATAGGCACAGGCGAGGACTTCATGACTGAAACACCAAAAGCAACAGCAACAAAAGCCAAAATAGACAAATGGGATCTAATTAAACTTAAGAGCTTCTGCACAGCAAAAGAAACAATCATTAGAGTGAACCAGCAACCAATAGAATGGGAAAATGTTTTTGCAATCTACCCATCTATCAAAGGGCTAAAATCCAGAATCTACAAAGAACTAAAGCAGATTTACAAGAAAAAAGCCGTTCAAAAGTGGGCAAAGGATATCACCAGACACTTTTCAAAAGAAGACATATATGAGGCCAACAAACATGAAAAAATGCTCATCATCATTGGTCATTAGAGAAATGCAAATCAAAACCACATTGAGATACCATCTCACACTGGTTAGAATGGCGATCATTAAAAAATCTGGAGACAGCAGATGCTGGAGAGGATGTGAAGAGGAAGGAAGATTTTTACGCTGTTGGTGGGAGTATAAATTAGTTCAACCATTATTGTGGAAGACAATGTGGTGATTCCTCAAGGATCTAGAAATAGAAATTCCATTTGACCCAGGAATCCCGTTACTGGATATATACCCAAAGGATTATAAATCGCTCTGTTGTAAAGACACATTCACATGTATGTTTATTGTGGCGCTGTTTACGATAGCAGAGACTTGGAACAACCCACATGCCCATCAATGATGGACTGAACAAAGAACATGTGGCACATATATACCATGGAATACTATGCATTCATAAAAAATGATGAGTTTTTGTTCTTTGTAGAGACATGGATGAATCTAGAAACCATCATTCTTAGCAAACTGACACAAGAACAGGAAACCAAACACTGCATGTTTTCTCTCACAGGCGGGTGATGAACAATGAGAACACTTGGGCACAGGGAAGAGAACAACACTCACTGGGCTAGGTGTGGGGATGGAGGGGAGGGAAAGCAGAGTTGGGGGGTGGGCAGGAAGGAAGGGGAGGGATAACACTGGGAGAAATGCTGGATCAGGCGATGCCGGGGTGGGGTAGGGGGATGGAGACAACAAACCACTGTGGCATGTACCTATGCAACAGTCCTACAGGATGCAGGATGTGTACATGTACACCAGAGCCCAACATGAAATTAAAAAAAAAAAAATCAGCTCACCAAAGACAGACTAGTAAAAGAAAAACATATCTTATTTATTAATGTGTATATGGAGAATATTGCAGAGTGACTGCCTAACCCCCTAGTGGGTCATAGAAGCTTATATATGATCTTGAAGTTATAGAAAGAATGGGGTCTTAGATTTGGGCTAAACAGGTTATAGGAGGGAGAGAAGAGGAGGCTGGGCTAGCAGAAGTGATCTTGTTATACAGGTGAAACCTCACAGGTAGCAGCATTAGAAAGAATAGATGATAGATGGTTTTCTAGACTGTTAAAGGTGTCAGACCCTCAGTTAATGTTTCCTAGAACTGGACAAGGGAAGGCCTGACTGCAGTCAGTGTAGATTTTTTACATATGTAAATTTCTCTCACAAAAGACAGCTTTGCAGAGCTACTTCTGCTTTCTGACAACCATCTTGGTTACCATATGTTGGCCAGGTGTGGTGGCTCACACCTGTAATCCCAACACTTTGGGAGACCAAGGCAGGTGGATCCTGTGGTCAGGAGATCGAGACCATCCTGGCCAACATGGCGAAACCCCGTCTCTACTAAAAACACAAAAATTAGCAGGGTGTGGTGATGTGCTCTCATAGTCCCAGCTACTCGGGAGGCTGAGGGAGAAGAATCACTTGAACCAGGAGACAGAGGTTGCAATGAGCCAAGATTGCGTCACTGCACTCCAGCCTGGCAACAGAGTGAGAGACTCCATCTCAAAAAAAAAAAATTACAGTACGTTAAAGAAATATATTTGGGGGTAAAATATTTTGATTTCCTGCAACCCCAAATCTGAAATCCAAAATGCTTGCTCCAGAGTCTAAAACTTTTTGAATGCCAACATGATATTCAAGGGAAATAATCATTGAAGATTTGGATTTTTGAATTTGAGATACTGAACTGGTAAGTGTACTGGAAATATTACAAAATCTGAAATACTTCTAGTCTCAAGCATTTGGGACCTGATAAAGGATATTCAGTCTCTAGTTTAAATTTTAGAGACTTATTTTTTGTTTTCGTGGTCTTAGGATAATTAAAAGGGAGCCAGAAGATGTTTGCACCTGCAAGTGTCAGACGTGATTTTAAGTATAATACCTTGAGCTGATTTCTCATGTGTTTTCTTAAGATACCAATGAAGATTCCTCTAAAAACAGTCATTATATTGGTAAAGTCCCCACCATTCCCTTTTTTCCCACTTTGGAAGAAGAGGCAAAGATATTTTAGGTTCTGGAGGTGCATGTGCAGGTTTGTTATATGGGTAAATTATGTGTCACTGAGGCCTAGTGTACAAATGATCCTGTCACCTAGCTAGCAAGCATAGTACCCAACAGGTAGTCTCCCTACTTACACCCCTCTTTTGCCCTCCCACCTCAAGCAGCCCCCAGTGTGTGTTGCTTCTATCTTTGTATCCATGTACATTCATTCAGTGTTTAGCTCCCACTTACAAGTGAGAGCATGTGGTATTTGGTTTTATGTTCCTATGTTAGTTTGGCCTCATGCTGCATCTGTGTTACTGCAAAGGACATGATTTTGTTCTTTTTTATGACTGTGTAGTATTCCATGATATATGTGTACCACAGTCCATCATTAATGGGCATCTTGGTTGATTGCATGTCTTGGCTGTTGGGAATAATGTTGCAGTGAACATAAGAGTACATATGTCTGTTTTGTAGAACAATTTATTTTCCTTTGGGGATATAACCCAGTAGTGGGATTGGTGAGTCAGATGGTACTTCTGTTATAAGTTCTTTGATAAATGTTCACACTGCTTTCCACAGGGGCTTAACTAAATTTACATTCCCCCAAACAGTGTATAAATAAGCATTCCCTTTGCTCCGCAACCTTGCCAACATCTGTTGTTTTTTGATTTTTTAATAATAGCCATCCTGACTGGTGTGAGATGGTATCACATTGTGGTTTTGATTTGTATTTCTCTGATGATTAGTGATGAGCCTTTTTCATATATTTATTTGCTGCATGTATATTTTCTTTTTAGAAATGTCTGTTCATGTCCTTTGCCCATCTTTTAATGGGATTATTTGTGTTTTGCTGGTTGCATTAGGTTGCTTATCAATTCCAGATATTAAACCTTTGTCCAATGCATAGTTTGTGAATATTTTCTCCCATTCTGTTGATAGTTTACTTCAATTTTGACAAAAGCCATTTATCTTCTGGAGAAATAGATTGGGAAGAGGCTAATGTCACTGATTGCTTATACTATACTCTTATTAGGGTTGCTGGGTTTTCGTTGTCTTTTATTTGTTTTCGTATTTTAAGGATAGATATTTGGATGAGTTTTATATATATTTAAGAAAGTTAAACCTATGTAACAGTATATTATTTTTATTTTTAGAATATATTAATAACTTATATTGGAATGGTTTTTGGTGGAGATTATATTTTCACATGGACAAACTTCATTGGCTTGAATATCAGGTAAGTAAAAGTAATTAAATTGAAAACTGGGGATTGGATATTCAAATAGTGTCACAATAAGATTAGGCTACTATATTGATGGAAAATTTATTCATTAATAAACATTATGGAGTACCTTTTCTGTGCTACATATTTAATGTCTCTACATAATGCTTTTTAAGAAGTGGGGAGATGTCGGGCATGGTGGCTTATACCTATAACCTCAACACTTTGGGAGACTGAAGTGGACAGATTGCTTGAGCCCAGGAGTTTGAGACCAGTCTGGGCAACATTGCAAAACCCCATCTCTACAAAAAAATACCAGTGTTACCTGGGCATGGTAGTGCACGCCTGTAGTCCCAGCTACTTCAGAGGCTGAGGTGAGAGGATCACTTAGGAGGAGGCCAAGGCTGTAGTGAGCTGTGATTGCACTGCATTCCAGCCTAAAAAAAAAAAGGTTGTGGGGAGAGAAAATGCTTCTGTATTCCATGCAGAGTATTTGGGGAATTTTTTCTAGAAGTTGAACTCCCTTTATTTAGCCTTGAAAGCACTTTAATTTTCTTTATTATTTTTATTATTTTTTTTAATTGCATTTTAGGTTTTGGGGTACATGTGCAGAACATGCAAGATAGTTGCATAGGTACACACATGGCACTGTGTTTTGCTGCCTTCCTCCCCTTCACCCACATCTGGCATTTCTCCCCATGCTATCCCTCCCCAGGTCCCCCCCACCCTGCTGTCCCTTCCCTATTCCCCCCAATAGACCCCAGTGTGTAGTACTCTGTTCCCTGTGTCCATGTGTTCTCACTGTTCATCACCCACCTATGAGTGAGAATATGTGGTATTTCGTTTTCTGTTCTTGTGTCAGTTTGCTGAGAATGAAGTTCTCCAGATTCATCCATGTCCCTACAAACGACACAAACTCATAGTTTTTGATTGCTGCATAATATTCCATGGTGTATATGTGCCACATTTTCCCAATCCAGTCTATCATCGATGGGCATTTGGGTTGGTTCCAGGTCTTTACTATTATAAACAGTGCTGCAATGAACATTTGTGTGCATGTGTCCTTATAGTAGAATGATTTATAGTCCTTTGGGTATATACCCAGTACTGGGATTGCTGGGTCAAATGGAATTTCTATTTCTAAGGCCTTGAGGAATTGCCACACTGTCTTCCACAATGGTTGAACTAATTTACACTCCTACCAGCAGTGTAAAAGTGTTCCTATTTCTCCACATCCTCTCCAGCATCTGTTATCTCCAGATTTTTTAATGATCGCCATTCTAACTGGCATGAGATGGTATCTCAATGTGGTTTTGATTTGCATTTTTCTAATGAGCAGTGATGATGAGCATTTTTTCATGTTTGTTGGCCTCATGTATGTCTTCTTTTGTAAAGTGTCTGTTCATATCATTTGCCCATTTTTGGATGGGCTTGTTTGTTTTTTTTCTGTAAATCTGTTTGAGTTCTTTGTAAATTCTGGATATCAGCCCTTTGTCAGATGGGTAAACTGCAAAAATTTTTTCCCATTCTGTTGGTTGCCGATTCACTCTAGTGACTGTTTCTTTTGCCGGAAAGCACTCTAATTTTTATGCTAGTTCCCAGTGCAATGTTCTCAAGAAATGTAGGGCTAAAGAAGAATAACAAACAATTGTTTGATGTGTGTACCTGACCTCAGACATGTTACTACCTTTCTTTAGACCTTACATGCCTTCACCAGTGAAGGGGGTTACTTGTATTGTTTGAAAGATCTTTTGCAGTTCTTGAATTTTGAATCCCGTGGTCTTAAATATTGTTTACATGCCTAAAAATGATCAAATTTCTGTTTGGGCCAGACCTCTGTTCTCCAGCCGGACTTGCCTAGCTAGCAGACCACATGACATCTCCTGCTGACATGTCTTAAATTTAACTCTTTTTATTTCTTTGAAAGTCTGCACTATCCATAGTCTCTATTATCTTAGTTGATGGAGACCCCATCCTTCTAGCTACTCCATTTAAAAATCTTGGTGTTGTCTTTGACTTTTCTATCTCATATCTAATATCCAGTGTGTTAGCAAATTTTATGGGCTTTACCTTCAGAAGCTATCTAACAGAAGATCTCTTCTCACTATTAGCATTGCTTTCATCCTCATTTAAGCTCCCGGCATGCCTAGATTATTGCCCTAGTCTTCCACACTTTTTTTATTCCTGGTTTGACTCATCCACTTCCCTCTCTTGCCATCCACTCTCAACAAAGTAGGCAGTGCATTCTTTGTAAAAGGTCAGTTTGAATATATCATTCTTTTAATGCTCCCATACTCCCCACCCATGACTATTGAAGTTCCAAAGTCCTTACAAGGCCCCACTAGATCTAGCCTGTTTACTTCTCCAACTTTAGCGGCTGCTTCTCTTCTTCTTCCTTACTCTGCTTCATCTGTATAGACCTCCTTGCTGTTCCTCTAGGATATGTGGCATGCTCCCTCTTTAGGACTTTTGGACTGAATATTTTCCCTGCCTGGAATATACTGCCAGATTATTTGCATGGTTGATTCTTTTATGCCTATAAGATTTTGCTCAAATGTTACCTTCTCAAGGAAATTTACCCTGACCAAACAAAAGCATGAAGGTGGAAATGCATGTGTTGGATGAGGACTGGGGAGAGTGGCCAGTAGGCTCTCCAGTGTGGTTAGATTAAGAGGAGTCTCACAAGGGTAACTCTGGAAAAGTAGCTTAGTAACTGAGTGTGAGATGCCTCTCAAATGTCTCATAACAGGAAGAATGAGTGCCCAATTAGGAAGACATTCTGAGAGACACTAATAGACTGCAGATGGCAGAGGCTGGGTCAAAACTTACTTACTTGCCATACAATTAAGACCTAGTTGGGATAGGGCCAGGCGCGGTGGCTCATGCCTGTAATCCCGGCACTTTGGGAGGCCGAGGTGGATGGATCACAAGGTCAAGAGATCAAGACCACCCTGGTCAACATGGTGAAACGCCGTCTCTACTAAAAATACAAAAAATCAGCTGGGCATGGTGGCGCATGCCTGTAATCCCAGCTACTCAGGAGGCTGAGGCGGGAGAATTGCCTGAACCCAGGAGGTGGAGGTTGTGGTGAGCCGAGATCGTGCCATTGCACTCCAGCCTGGGTAACAAGAGCGAAACTCCATCTCAAAAAAAAAAAAAAAGACCTAGTTGGGATAATCAAAAACAGGAACGTCTTGTTGTACTTTGGACTCCTTGATTTTCTGGGCAAATGAGGTATTGCAGCCATGAGGATGAAGAGAAGCAGCAATTGCCAAAACCCCTTTCATCTTTTTGCTGTTCATTGATGTCAGCCCTTGGTGTGCCTTAGCATTTTGACCAGGAGTTTGACTTGTACTGCTGTTTTATCCCTATTGGGTGGCCACTGCATGGTACTTAACATTGTGAAATGAACTATTGTCTCATATAATTTAAGTATATAATTTAACATAATATGCTAATATACATATAGCATAATGTAACATATATATAACATATAACATCTATAACATACTGTCATATAATTATATAACATACTGTCATATAATTATGTAATATAATTTCTACTTCAATCCTATAAGAATGGTATCATAGTCTCCATTTCACAGGTATGAGTGAACTGAAGCTCTGAGGAGCTAAGTAGCTCTCCCCACATCATAGAGCTTTGTAAGTGGCAGAGTGCAAGTTAGATTCTCTTTATTCAACACTCTGACACCTTTGTGTTTCTCTCTGTTCAGATTGGAAAGTTTTGAAAGGTAGTAGATACAGAGGCAGTACAGCTCTTCTGTATTTGGCTAGTGAGGAAGAAGATGGGAAAAGGCTTCCTAAGAGTTGCCGGATGAAGAGTGAAGATGGGTGTCCTTGGTCATTGTAGGAAGAATGTACCCAGAAACCTGGTTTCAATTATTTGGCAGGAATTTTGTTTGTTAGGAAATAGCAGTACAAGTGAAACTCTTGGTTCACAGGTTTTGATGTAGATTGGCTTATTTGACATATAGAAGGTAGGGTCTAATCTGGGAGGCAGAACTACCTGCCTAGACATATGAACAAACATGTCAGGGATGGGATGTGATGGAAATAGCCTGAACTATTAGGACTCTTGTTTAATAGTTGTATTAACTGGCCATGAGGTTGCTGTATTGAAAGCATTTGCAGTCTATATTTTTAGAATGGATATCTAATTGTTGGGGGCTAATGAATATGTCCATGACTGTAAATTTAGGAGAAGTAGACTGTGTTTGCATTGCTTTTGAAGATCAAAAGTAGATCAGAGCAGATGAAGTAGATTTAGTAGAGTCGATAGATTGAAAGCAGTTTGGTACATTCCAGTCAGATTTGCAGTATTCTAACAAGGTTCCTGTCTCAGGAACTGTAGCTTTGTCTTTTTCTTCTTCTTGTCTCCCAGCTGTGTCTGCCACAGCAGGTCTCTGTGAATTAAAAGTTGGCAGTGCTACTTTGGGAGGCCAAGGCGGGTGAATCAGAAGGTCAAGAGATGGAGACCATCCTGGCCAACGTGGTGAAACCCTGTCTCTACTAAAAATATAAAATTAGCTGGGCGTGGTGGTTCACGCCTGTAAATCCCAGCTATTCAGGAGGCTGAGGCAGGAGAATTGCTTGAACCCAGGAGGTGGAGGTTACAGTGAGCCGAGACTGTGACACTGCACTCCAGCCTGGCAACAGAGTGAGACTCTGTCTCAAAAAAATAAAGAGCTGGTAGTGCTATGGTTTGAAGATTAGACAGATGAAAAATTGCTTGAAAAATTTTTAAAAGGCATAAACCTAGGCTTATATAATGTTTGTACCTTATTTTTAATGTGCATGTTTTAACTTTTTAAAAGAAAAAGTTTGTTGACCAGTTCTAATACCAGGGGTTCTTCTTTTAAAAAATGAATATTTAGGATGATCTAATATATTAACATCAATTTCAGAGTACTAGAAGATACCAGCTTTAATGTGAATATTTATGAGGCCAATAGATTAGTGAAAGTGTCTCTGTTTGAAGTAGTAGAAGATCCTGATTTAGAATCATTTGGAAATGATGTATAAAAATTCAGATATAACCCTTCTTCAAATCTGGGCTTTTTCTCATTTTCCCTTTCTCTTCCCCCCAATTTCCCCCTTCCCCAAAGCTGCTAGAGAGCAACTTATGGTTCCTTTCCAAAGCATTTATTCATCACTACATAATGCATAGTAATCTTGATGAATATTCCGTTCTTTTCAGGTGGTTCATGAATTGCCCTTTCTGAATATTTATATTTGATAATGATCAAGTCAGTAATAAAGATGAAATTAAAAATATTTTATTGTTGCCTCAAGTTACAACCATGTGGCAGTAGTGTGCCCCCTCTTTCATAATGTTATGTCTCCTTGCTCTATGGTCTGAATGTTTGTATTCCTCCAAAATTCCTATGTTGAGCTCTTGGGAGATGAGTAGGTCATGGAGTTGGCACCCTCATGAATGAGATTAGTGCCCTTATGTAAAAGATGCCAGAGCATGATGAGAAGTTACTGTTTATGAACCAGAAAGAGAGCCCTCTCTAGACATTAAATCTGCCTTGATCTTGGACTCCCCAGCCTCTAGGACTGTGAGAAATAAATTTCTGTTGTTTATAAGCCACTATTTATGGTATTTTTATAGCAGTTTAAATAGAGTATGATGTTTATTATTATAGCAGCGTACCTTTTGTCAGCAGTATATCTCCCCTCTGGTCTGTGAGTGTTGGCTGACAGGGAAGGGAGGGGAGAAGAGAATGAAGAGAAGATTATTTATGTAATCTCATTTAATCCATAGACAAGCTTAGATAGATAACATTATTCTTATTTGATTAATACAGAAATGGAATCTCAGAGAGATTAATTTGCCCAGGGTCACATAGCTAGTACAGGTTGAACATCTAAAATCCAGAATGCTCCAAAATCTGGAATTTTTGAATGCTGACAGATGCTCAAAGGAAATGCTTGTTGGAATATTTCAGATTTGGGATTTGGATGCTTGGCTGGTAAATATAATGCAGATATTCCAAAATTTGAAATCAGAAACACTTCTGATTCCAAGCATCTTAGATAAGAGATACTCAACCTATAGTATATTCAGGATTTGAACCAAGACCTAACTGTAGAGTCAGTGTTTTTTCAAAACATTAACTATGCTGGGAGTATAGGGTCTGACATTATCATTAGGGCTATGCCTGAAATAAATTCTAGGACATTCTTTGTCTTCTTCTATCCTGTGCTTCCCCAGTATTCCTAACCCGTTTAAATAGGCTTAATATGAACATCAAAGGTTGTCTTAACAAAGATTGTCTTAACAGGAAAAATAAGAAAGCATCTTTGTTTTTTAGATTGTTCTGGGAAGGGGAAGCTAGAGAAAGGCAGGATGAAAGAAAGGAGAGGCAGCCCTTCTACTTTGTTTTGGGGTGGGTTTGGAGGCAAAGGGAAATTGACTGTCATGTGAATGGACATACATGTGATCCTCTAGGAGAGTCATCAAATTCCAAAAAAAAATTAAATGGGAAAAAGCTGCTAGATGAAGGAAAAGATGAAGCTCTGTGAACATTGGCATAAGAATTATCTGGTCTTACTCAGTTCATGAGGCCCCTTTCTTAGTGGGGTGATAGGGGATACTCAGTTCAGCAGTTACCTATTGTGTTGCTAAACAGTGCCAGGCCAATTGCCAGAGACTCTGTACAGCTAAAAGAATAAGGCCATGGGAAATTAACAAGATGATAAGGACAAAATGAGGATGGATAACTAATATCCAGTGGCACAGGGGTCATCAGGGAGGCAGCAGTTGGAGTGGAGAAAGACTGACCTGGGTTTTATTCTAGTCCATTATTAGGATGCTTTGTGACCCTGAGCAAGGTACCTTATGACTCTGGGACTTTCCTCATCTATAAAATGGATACCTTGGAGGGATATTGTACCTTGCAGGAATACTGCAAAAACAGGAAATGTATATGAAATGCTTAACATGTAGATGTTAATAATTTGTTTGCTCTTAAGTGCTGTGAGGTGCAGATGAGGAAAAGGAAGACTCTGGTTGGGAAGGTTAGATTGGAAAAGGCTTTATTTTGGGTTGATTGGGGTCTCAGACAATGGCTAATATTATGTGAGCATGTGCAGTGAAGAACAAGCGCCAGTGCCTGATCCCGCTTACTTCCTAGTGGGAACAAGAGCTCGGCATTTCTTACCCTTCTGTACTGGTCTGGGGCTGATGTCAAAGCCCAGAGGAGAACAGAACTAATTTCAAATAAGCAGCAAATTCATGAGTCAAGTGGTCAGACAACAGATGAGTGCCAAACCCAGGGCAGAAGAATTTGAGCCCAAGTCAGGTACCCAGCTGGCTGGAAACCAAGAGAATCTTGGGTGGCAGTTTCTGTGGAAGAGCCAGGGAGGGCAGGCCAGGAGTGATTGGATCTGTGAGTTCCTCCAGCCTACTTTCCACTTAGTGAGTAGGACAGGAGGCTGTGTATCCTAGGTGAGTTTGAGGTCTCCACAGAGAATGGACTGAGTAATCAGTTACCAAAGAGTGAACCCTCCTGGTAATAGGTGTGATGGATAAGTGAGGGGTACCAGCAACCACCTGTCATAGACTGATGGCTCAAATGATAAGTCCCCCACTGTGAACTTGCTTTTAGTCAGAGAAAAATCCGCTCTGTGAATCTCCTAGGGTCTGCATATTTAACTTACAAATTTGGTATGGTTCCTCTTAATGCCTGTTTTTCAAAATGCAAAAATACAAGTAAAAATTTACCCATAATGTTAGCATCCAGCTGTAAGCACTGTTAATATTCTTGGTGTGTTCCTTACAGACTTTTGTCTGTTCCAGTGCGTATTGATGTACATATTCATGTTCATTTAAATAAAATGGGATTGGACAATGCTTGATGTTGTATGAGATATTTTCTCTTAAAAATTTAAGTCTTTGGCCGGGCGCGGTGGCTCACGCCTGTAATCCCAGCACTTTGGGAGGCCGAGGCGGGTGGATCACGAGGGCAAGAGATTGAGACCATCCTGGTCAACATGGTGAAACCCCATCTCTACTAATAATACAAAAAATTAGCTGGGCATGGTAGTGCGTGCCTGTAGTCCCAGCTACTCAGGAGGCTGAGGCAGGAGAATTGCCTAAACCCAGGAGGCAGAGATTGCGGTGAGCCGAGATCGCGCCATTGCACTCCAGCCTGGGTAACAAGAGTGAAACTCCGTCTCAAAAAAAAAAATTTAAGATGTCTCATAAAATCTAATATGTCAATACCTGTTTTTATTTTCTACCATTTAATAGATGCATAATGTTCTATTGTATGAATTGGACAATTACCCAATGTGAAATTTTACCTTTATGTAATTTTTTGGTGTAAGTTTTTTTTTTTTTAGCCAGTTAGAGTGTTTACCCTAAAACCCTCTCTTCCTCCATCTCTAATGGTGGATTTCTGTTTTGCAGCATTGCTGGGAGCCTGGTGTATTCCTATATCACTTTCACTGAAGAGCAACTGAGCAAACAGTCAGAGGCTAGTAACAAGCTGGACGTTAAGGGGAAAGGAGCAGTGTGACCAGAGGATTGCTTCATCTACGTAGGCCTAAGTTTTAATCAGCTCAGAACACTGTGGATTCCTACACAGACACTGAGATGTCTTGATTATGGAGGAAATACCATTCCTTTGCACTTGTACAATCTGAGGATTGATTGCTGCCTTTTAAAATTTTATGATGAGAGAAACTTATAATTGACTATTTTAAATACCTTGTTTGAATTAATTTATATGAGTCTGGAAAATGTACTGGGCTTTTTAATTTATTTTTCTTCTATGCCGATGGTGAAACATCAGTGTTTTGAAAGTATTTTATTTCATAATTTGATATCCAGGTGTCCCTGAGAGCTGCATATATAATGTTTTCCAACTGGAGCTTCCTCATTCAAATTGTTGCTGCATCCGGAGGCAGTTTAGCCTTTCCTCTGCTGGAAATGCAGACAAATATGTGAAATTTCTCTTCTTTGAATCTTATTTCTTATGATTGCATTGTCTTCATTATGTCATCATTGCATTTGCCAAAGAGAACAACTTTGGCACTATACAAATATGTGGGGCTTTGAAGTGTATCACTGTCTGTGTTGGCTTCCCTGCCATTCATGGGATGAGCAGAGTGCATTCCTTGAAAATTTGTTCTTTTTTGTTGTGTAGAAAGGGGAGAATGAAGAGTATGAGGAAGTAGGCCTTTTACTCATTTATTCATCTGTTTGATTTATCACAACATGTTGTGAGTGTATGTGCCAGGCATTGTGCTAAAGGCTGGGGATACAGAGATGTTTGTAGGTAGTTAAAACATCTCACTCCTGCCATAGTGACTGAGGTAAGATTGAGAATTTAGCTCTGTTAATCGATTGAGAAGACGTCACTAGCACTCAAAAGACACAAGTCTGGAAATTGGATTAAAAGTACCTGCCTGCCTACCCTGCAACAGCATGAGTCCAAATGCAATGTGAGATGAGGTACAAGTAAAGAGCTGCGTTTTGCAAACCATTGTAGCTCAGCATTGACTCCCTCTCCAAGTGAGAATGTCATATGGGTAAGTCTATTTTCCCATGCCTCCTTCCTTTGGATTTGATTGCTCTTTGTATCAATATGATGAGGTCCCATGTTTCTGAATCTATTGGTTTGAGGGGAAAGGCTGGTTAGACACCTTGGTATTGTCAAGGGTTGGTTTTTCTCTGTCAGTTTCAGTGTTAGAGTGCTGTCACCTTCTTAAATAACATGAGCAATGAGCAAACTTCCCTTCTTTCAACATTCCCACCTACATCATAGCCCCTTGGCCGACTCACCGAGCTTGCCAACTTCTCTCAAAACCAATGCTGCATTTTGGGAGAGCAGTTATATTTGCCTAAATTGCCTCTTGGGGTAATCTGGAGGGTGGAGGTGTTAACTCAATATAATCCTGTGACTTAACTCAGAGATAGCCATTGACTTTTGGGATTTGTATGTTTGCTCAGACCAGTTGTGCAGTGTGCAAGAGATTAGGCACCTTTGTACTAAGGCACACACTAGCATCTATTTCATTGGGTCTGGAATCTACTGGACTCTGTTGACCTAAACAATTAGGGTTTCATTTTTTTTATTTGAAAATTTATATTGAGATCATTTTCATATGCCTGTCTTTCTCTTTGGTTTGTCTTTATTAAAGCCTGGCTCGTGGTGCTGTGTTCCTAGAATTATGCCTGTGGCCAGCTCCCAAGTTACAAGCTCCGTTAAGAGCCTTAGACTCACTTTTTTCTAGCATCTTCTGATCTGAGAAAATTCCACTGGGAGTAAAGGACATTATCTTGTGTCAGATGGGTCTTACTCTCCCTATTTTACCAATGAGAAAACAAAACTCAGAGAAAGGTGACTTGCTAGTATATCAAACTCATGTCCCCTCTAAGGGAGTAAGGAGATAGATGCTAGCTGAGTTCACTTGAGCTCTTTCAAAAAAGCAAGCAGTTGATTAAATTTGGTGTCAGAGAGGAGCATACTTTGCAAATCAGCAAGAGTGACAGATTACCCTGTCCTGGAACCTTATCTCACTTCCAAGCTGACCTTTGTTGTTAATGCCCTTCTGGTTGTAAATGTTGCCAGCACTTCCTGGTTTTGCCTAGGTACAGTGAAAGAGCATAGTGAGAGCTGTTTTCAGTGATTCTGTTCCTTCTGTCAGCAACACGAAGGAGGGAAATTTGAGTAATTTTCCTTCTAGAATATTTCTTCATGAAAAGCTTTTGGGTATATTTAACAGGTGTTGGGCTAGAGCCCCACCAGGAGTTCAACTCCCTCTTGGGGGTCAGGTCCCTAGGAGATCTGTCACCCCTTAGAAGTATTTGAGAAAATCATGCGTAGTTATAGCTTCACTAACTGGCCATGACAGGCTTCTGTGCCTCAGGAGCCCTGGCTAATGTGGAACCTTCTGTCTGTCCAGAGCAGTACAGAAACTTACAGCTTCTGCCCTCTCTGTGTGCTGCTTCCTGGATGCCTCCTTCAGCTGCTAACCAGCAATACAAGATGGAGCAGCCTGTGCACGCTGGAGACAGAATAGTCTTTTGGAGTTTGTATTTTGCTTATTGCAGGCATGGTATATTATACTGGTGATTTACCTGGTACTGTGGCACCTCCCAGAATGTCTGGATTTTGCCTCATGGTTGATATTTACTAGGCAGAAATATTTTCCTGCTAACTACCTCCTGGGAGAAACAGAGGCAATACAGAGTTAAATCCTTAATTTGCTCATTGAAACAGATAAGCTGTCTTCCAAATTTGTCTTCCAAAAGACAAGTTCTATGACTAGTGGATCCTGTTCAATGTAAGTGAAGTCCTCTTTGACCAATCTGCTTCTAATCTAATCAGTGCTAAATGGATTGAAGTAACCCTTGTTAGCCTGGCTACACATTGTCAACATGTCCTGTTGAGTTTTAATTGCCCCATGTGGCTGTGGATTTTATAAGTCAGTCCATATAGGCTCCAGTTTGTACCTAGTTTTAAAAAAAAGTACATTTACATGCTTTGGGTGGTCCTGTTGTATCAGGAATCCATGGAGGGTTTTGATCAGTAAAGCTGATACAGGATCCTCACGGAGAGACACTGGAGTTTCACATTGAATTGGTTTGAAATGGCACCGCAGGACTTTGGGTCTGCCTTGCTTTGCTTTCAGTGGGCAAAGATTTAGGAAATAGTTGTTGTATGCCAAGCATTTTGCTAAGCACCGGAAAAAAGATAAGGCATGGTTCTTTCTCTCAAGGAGTGTGTAATTATTTAGCCAGACATGGTAAACTGGACCTTGAGTGGGAGAACGGAGACAGATGAAAGGAGTCAGTGATTTTGTAAACAAGAGCTGCCTGCACAGTTATCAGTATCACTGATTTTAGGGGTGCCCCACCGAGCTAAAGCATTTTTTTAAAGTCTGAGATGACTTTCGTAATTCGTATTAATCTTCTAGCCCTTAGCAACACAGCTCTTACAATTCTGTAAGTAGCCTAAGGCCTCCTCCACTACTGTACATGGTCTTGCTTTTCCAAAACTATAATTTTGGTTCTTTCTATGAACATGACTGTAATTGATTTTTCTCTCTTTGAGGGAAAAATATCCAGAATAAATGAGATAATGGATATGAAACTATTTAGCACAATGCCTAGTACATATTAGGCACTCAGCAAATGTGGCTACCATGTCATTATTTCATGGTGAGACACGAGGCAAAACAGGATTCTTAATTTATGCTCTGTAAATGCTAGAGGCCAGGGCAATATGGTATATCCTGAAAAACATGACCCTGTACCTCATTGCCTCTAGAATCCTTAGGTAACAGTTTCTGTTCACTGTCTTTTTAAAAAATATCTACTGGACACAATTGTGGCCATTATGTGATGCAGGTGATTCTACCTATTTTTTAAAAAGAACAAAATTGCTTTTATATTGTGATGGTACATTTCCTTTAATAAATAAAGTAAAGTTATTTTCTTCTCCCTTTTCCCCCTCCCTTTTTTTTTTTTTTTTTTTTTTTTTTTTAAGAAGGGTCTTGCTCGGTTGCCCAGCCAGGCTGGAGTGTAATGGTGTGATGGTATAATCATAGCAGCTCACCATGGTCTCAAACTCATAGGCTCAAATGATCCTCCTGCCTTAGCCTCCTAAGTAGCCATGACTATAGGCATGTGCCACATTATGCCTGGCTCATTTCTTTCTTTCTGCCCCCCCAATCCTTTTTTTTTTTTTTTTTCAATAAAGACAGGGTCTCACTGTGTTACCAGGCTGGTTTGAACCTCCTGGCCTCAAGTAATCCTTCTGTCTCAACTTCCCAAACTGCTGGGATTACAGGTGTGTGCCACATGTCTGGCTAGAAAAATTATTTTCTATCTTAAAAGAAGATAATTACATTTTAGAATGATAATTCAGTTAAATCTTTCTCAGTTTCTCACCTTAGGATGGCTCCTGGAAAGGCCAGCATTCCTTTTCCCCTCTCTGAATTGAAAGCACTTGACTCCATGATGTCCCTGCTTCCAGGTCTGTCTCAGTTGTCGTATATCTTGAGTCCCTGGCACCATCACTGTTCTTTAAACGAATCTTCTAGGTCTTACTTTCAGGATGCTGCTTCACGGTAAGAGGAGATAGTTTACAGTGTGGTCGTTTTTTTTTTTTTTTTTTTTTTTTTTAAGCTTTGTTCTTTGAAAATACATTTTTAAGAGAAATCTACTGGTTAGATTTATTGTCTCATAAAAATATTTTTAGAGATTATTTTTTTCACAAGTGTTTCCTTTCTCATGCTGATGGATCAACTGATTTTTGTCTACAGTTGTTAGCCTGTCACAGTATTTTTAAATTTTAGAATCTATTTACTAAATGACCATTTTAGTGTTAAAAAGTACTGAGGAATTGAGGTATGTAAATCAGGTGACATAAACATGAAAATTATGTGCCTAAATATTTTTGTAATGGTGTAAAATAAATACTTTTTCTTGAAAACAAGTGTTAAAATTCCCTTGTATCTGCATAATCCAGAGCCAGAAGTCTGCCCATATTTTAGATGTTGGCATTCTGTTGATTGAGATCCCATATGTAGAAAATAATTGTTTTTTATACAAATGCTTTGCATGAATAGTACATATGACTAGATATCCAGTGTCTTGTGGCATACTTCTGGTGAATGAGAAGGAAATAAATGCTAAATCTTTCTGTTTTCAGGATATTTCAACTGTATAATCAGGTATCTAAGCTTCTGAGTAGCTTTACTTATCAAGTAGAGACATTTTGGTACAAGCAGACTCAACAGAGGTGGAAGCACATTAAGGTGTGTCAGAGGGAGCAGCATATTAAGCCTTTTTTAAAGAAAATGATTGTGGTAAAATATACATGAAATTTACCATCTTTGCCAGGTTTAAGTGTACAGTTTAGTGGTGTTACATACATTCACATTGTTGTTCAGCCAATCTCCAGAACATTTCCTTGCAGAATTAAAACTCTATACCCAGCTGGGCGCGGTGGCTCAAGCCTGTAATCCCAGCACTTTGGGAGGCCGAGGCGGGTGGATCACGAGGTCAAGAGATCGAGACCATCCTGGTCAACATAGTGAAACCCCGTCTTTACTAAAAATACAAAAAATCAGCTGGGCATGGTGACGTGTGCCTGTAATCCCAGCTACTCAGGAGGCTGAGGCAGGAGAATTGCCTGAACCCAGGAGGCGGAGGTTGCGGTGAGCCGAGATCACACCATTGCATTCCAGCCTGGGTAACAAGAGCAAAACTCCGTCTCAAAAAAAAAATAAATAAAACTCTATACCCATTGAACAGAAACTTACCATTTTCCCCTCACCTTAGTTGTTGGTAACCACCATTCTTTATGTTTCTATGAATTTGACTACTCTAGGTATTTTATGTAAGTGGAGTCTTACCATATTTGTCTTTTCGTGACTGGATTATTTCACATAGCATAATGTCCTTCATGTTATTTCATGTAGTATGTGTCAGAATCTTCTTCCTTTTTAAGGCTGAATAATATTCCATTGTATATATACTATTTTGTTTATCCAGTCTTTTGTTGATAGGTACTTGGGTTGCTTCTACCTCTTGACTCTTATGAATAATCCTGCTGTGAACATGGGTGTACAAATACTTTTCAAGATCCTACTCTTTTTTTAGATGGAGTTTCACTCTTGTTGCCCAGGCTGGAATGCAATGGCATCATTTCGGCTCACTGCAACCTCTGCCTCCCAGGTTCAAGCTATTCTCCTGCCTCAGCCTCCAGAGTAACTGAGATTACAGGCATGTGCCCCCATGCCTGCCTGATTTTTGTATTTTTAGTAGAGATGGGGTTTCACCATGTTGGTCAGGCCGGTCTCGAACTCCTGACCTCAGGTGATCCACCCGCCTTGGCCTTCCAAAGTGCTGGAATTACAGGCATGCCCAACGTACCCAGCCAAGATCCCATTTACACTTCTTTTAGGTATGTACTCAGAAGTGAAATTGCTGTATCGTATGGTAATTCTATTTTTAATGTTTTTGAGAAACCACCAGACTGTTTTCCATTATGGCTGCACCATTTTAGAATCCCACCAAGAGTGCACAAGGGTTCCAGTTTCTCCCCATTCTCACCAACGCTTGTTACTTTTTGTTTTTCAGATTGTAGCCATCCTAATGGATGTGAGGTGATAATCTCGTTCTGGTTTTAATTTGTATTTTTCTAATGATTAGTGATGTTGAGCATCTTTTCATATGCTTGAGGTGTTGTTGAGTTGTAAGAATTCTTTATATTCTGGATATTAACACCCTTAGATATATATCTCTAAAGAATTAAATATTAACAGCTTTCCTCTTGATTTCTAAGAGTTTTGTAATTTTACATCTTAAATTTAGATCTTGAATACATTTTTGATGTCTGTATATATTGTAAATACATATTGAACCCCTTTATATAGGATATCTGCATATGTATACAAATACATCTTTATACATCTCTATATCTGAAGGGGTTAAATATCTATATCTATAGATATAGATAGAGATATATATCTAAAGGGGTAACACAGGGTCTCACTGTGTTGCCCAGGCTAGAGTGCAGTGGCATGATCACAGCTCACTGCAGCCTCAATTTCCCGGGCTCAAGGAATTCTCCAACCCTAGCCTCCTGGGTAGCAGAGTAGAGATTCACACCACCACACCCAGCTAATTTTTTGTAGAGATGGTTTTGCCATTGCTGCTTAGGCTGGGCTCAAGCAATCTGCCTGCCTGGGCCTCCCAAAATGCTAGGATTCCAGGTGTGAGCTGCTGTGCCCAGCCCTCTTACAAGATATATATATTATTTGCGAATACTTTCTCTTATTCCACAGGTTACCTTTTCACTCCTTTGATTATATCTGTTGATTTTGATGTACAGCAAAGTTCTAAATTTTTATGTAGTCCAGCTGTTTACTTTTGACTTTTGTTGCCTGAGCTTTTGATGGCATATCCAAGATACACTGCCAAATCCAATATGAGTTTTGTAATTTTACGTCTTAAATTTAGATCTTGAATACATTTTGAGTTAATTTCTGTGTATGTCATAAAGGGTCCTATTATTTTGCATGTGGATATTTCATTTTCCCAACCCATTTATTGAAGAGATTGTTTTTAACACATGTGTTTTAATCAACTTAAAAACATCCTCTTAGAGTCTGATTTTTTTCTGATTTGTTAAAATTAGAATTAGTCTTTTTGATAGCTTCTTATCTCACTTGGCTTTCTTAAAGCATAGGCTTTCGGTATTGGTCAACTCTATAGATGAGGCACTGCTGAGAGAAGAAAGCACAGAGCTGGGACCATAGTGTACCCACAGGGAGTCAGCAGTTACCAGGTACCTTCAATTCTTCTTTCCTACAGGTCTCATCACTTGGGGCCTATGTATCCATTGTTTCATCCATCCATCAAGCCAGACTGAGTTCACTAGGGCCAGTAGGCATCCTCTCTCTAGCAGAGGCCTGGCATCTACAGATGAAGATCAGAGAGGCACATTTGCCCAGTGTGGTCAGGGAACCCGCATTCAAACCCCAATCAGTCTGATTTCAAACACCTTTGCTGTTCGCCACCATGCTAGGTTCTCATTTCTCTTTGTCTGTAATAGACTTGGCAGTACCAAACTCATCACCCACTCTAGACTTGTCAAATGTTATTTTTCATTCAACGTTCACCCACTGTGGATTTAAAACTTAGCATGAGCTGGTGGTTGATTTAATCTGAGGAGGCAAAGCAGCCATTCTTTTCCTGCTGTTCTAAAGGTGCCCTCTTGTGGCAATACCTGTTTTTGGCAGCCAAATGATGGAAAGCAGTTTTAAGAGGAAGGAAAAACAGTGTTTACTGAGGGCCAACTATATGCTTTCACCAAGTTAGGGCTAAAATGTGCCTTTTCATATTTGGTCCTTCCAGCACTTCGCTGATGCATAAATGGTGGCTTAAGCCAGGCTAAGAAATTTGTTCAACTTCACTCACATGAGAAATGTAAACCTGGACTTTGATTCCAAAACCCCTTTCTTTCTGAAGAATACATTCCAAAAACCATCCCTTATTGTTAGAGAAAGCAATAAGGGGGTTTCGTCAAGAGTACTTTATCATATGTGCCTGTTTATCCTTCACATAGTTTTTTTTTCAATGAATATTTTTGAGGACATCATCCACAAATAATAACAGAATTATGAAAGTATAGCTGAGATATGCGTATGAATGTATGGGAGGAGGAATTTCATTCCACCTGGGAATGGTAGGAAAGGTTTCCTTGGAAAATGGCATTTGAACTGATTCCTGAGAAACAACTAGGATTTGACTGAGAAAATAGGTGGGGATGGCCCTCCCATCTTCTAGGGTCTCTGTCCTGCTCCTTGACTAGAGTGCATGTTTCCTTGAAATCCATACAGTACATGCCCTCATCTCTATGGGTCTTCCTTAACCAGCCTATCTTAAATAGGTTCCCCTGCCCTCACCACATGTTCTCTTCTCTCCCTTGCTTCATCTCCATAGCACTTTAAGCTCTATGAAGACAGAGGTTTTGGTCTGTTTTTTTTGAGCATAGCAAGGTGGAAACCTGACCTCATTTGCGTTTTAGGAAGATCACACCAGCTGCAGTATTTGGATTGTATACTGTAGGTCGGAGGTTGGAAAATTCAGATGTCTCACAGGGCCAAACGTGAATCCACGTGAATGCAGTTAATAAATACTATAGTGAGTGGTGGGGCTTGGGGTGCATACCTGGTCAAAGGCATTGAAATAAAAAACCTGCCAGCCAGACTTAGCCCACTGGCTACCAGAGTAACCAAGCTGAACAACTACAGATCAGATTTGCACTATGACAGGATCACTGGGAATGCTGCGTGGATGACTGTCAGGCAGGGATCACGGAAGGACAGGACTGGAGGTGAGTGTATCAGATAGAGGTTGCTGTTATACTAGTGAGAATGAAGAGATCCTAAAAGTACAGTTGTTTCTTCTTTCATAGAAAAGGGATTTCAGTTGCTTGAGGAATTAGAATTAACAGGTAAGAAGTCTGGTTTTTTTTTTTTAAAGTAAAGCTGTTTCTTCTTTTTTTAATTCCTTTTGACTAAATATATCTTCAGACTATTTGAACTTTGGGAATTTTTTTTAATGAAGCATTTTATTTACTTGTTTTCAAGAAACCACCTTAAATTCTTAATTAAAACTTGAGGCCTATATTGAAAACAGGTTCTTGATAGTTGCCAGAACATTTGAAACACCTGTTTCCTCAATTAAGATTTAAAAATTTGATAATCCACTGCAGGATGATGCTGAATAGATTTCTTATTATTATTTTGGATTTTCTTTTCCTTTCTTTTTTGAGACAGAGTCTTGCTCTGTCACCCAGGCTGGAGTGCAGTGGTTCGATCTTGACTCACTGCAACCTCTGCCTCCCAGATTCAAGAGATTCTCTTGCCTCAGCCTCCCAAGTAGCAGGGCCTACAGGCTTGTGCCACCATGTCCGGCTAATTTTTCTATTTTTAGTAGAGACAGGGTTTCGCCATGTTGGCCGAGCTGGTCTCAAACTCCTGATCTCAAGTGATCTGCCCGCCTTGGCCTCCCACAATGCTGGGATTACAGGCATGAGCCACTGAGCCTGGCCTGGATTTCTTAGTATCTTACTGTTTTCATCATCTTTCAGAATTATGAGTTCGGTTTCTCTCTGGATCAAACTGGTGGTTCTCAGAGTGCTGTGGCGCTAATAGTGACAAAGTAGACTTAAAATGGCCACAGGACATTGACAATGAAACTAATCATCTTCACCGGAGTTGTTAGGTGAACGGAACTTTTCCCCAAGGATCCACCTGTGTTAGGGCTGAGTCCAGTGCTGCACATGGCCATCCCATGACCTAATAATGAACACCTAAGCATGTACATATGCTTGCAAACCTAAATGTTTTTAAAGCTGATTTTGATCTACCAATACAAGAATGCTGATTGTCCTGCATTTTAGGTAAGCCAGTAAGTTTTAACCCACTTATCATTTTAACTTACAAAACATAATGGTATACTTTCACTTAGCCTTGATCCTTCCCGGGTATAAAAACAGGAACATTTTTGAGGTGACTAACTTATGTTTCCAAGAGTTTTCCAAAAAGGTAGTATTTGAAGTGTAGCAATGAAACAGAGTGCCTGCTATACCACAGTCAAAATACATTTATTGACCCATTTGTACATGCCACAGATATTTTTCTTAGCACCTTGCTTAGTGACACATTTTAATCCTGCAAACAATTCTTTAAAGTGAGTCCTAGTATCATTTTAAAGGTGAAACAAGCATAGGATAGTTTCACTGTTGGACAGTGGTATTTATGAGACAATCTTTGTTTATAAATTTACCTTTCTGTAAAACCTTTTTCTCTGAAGTCATGGAGCTGCCTAGAACAAGGAGCAAAGTAGATGATGTGTGAGTATGAAATGTCACAGTACATATTATTTTAAATTAAATTATATCTGAGTTCCCATCTTGTCACCTATCAGGAAATTCAGTCCCAGTTCTTCGCTAGTTACACAAGATCCAGGGGAATTGCCTGTGCATAGAAGATAGAAGAGGGACCCTCTTTGTCTTCAGTCCATGATGGTCACTGCAGAACTCCTTAGTAACCAACTCTAAGGTGTCCTTTGAAGGCAGATGGTACAACAGATTGCAAACTTTGCCCTGGTAATAGTTTCTACTAATGGAAGTTCCAGCCTAGAGTCCAACCTGTTTTGTACTCCATATAGTCATTCCTCTGATGTCTTTCTAGAGAATGAAGCTCACATTCCTACTATTCTCAGAGCCTATTAACATCTTTTTTCCAACTGAGGGAATTTCTCTTTCCTAGAATTTAGAGTTGTGGGAAAAAGCTAGGAGAAAATTTGTTTGCAAGTAACATGTTTTCTATTCTACAACACACATCTTCCCTAAACACAAAGACCTGACTTAGAAAATAGATAAACAAAATCCAGATCATTGGAAAAGAGCAAGTCTTAGAATTTCTCTAGGTAGCTCAGTTTTATTTGTAAATTGGGGGTAATAACATTGTGAAGATTCGTTTATAATTAGTGCAGTGCTTTTAACAGCAATCACTTAACAAAAACAGTAGATAATATTTGCAATAGGCTTGTTTTATTTGCCTATTTCTCTGTGACTAGCCTATTTTCCTTTTGAGGAAATGCCTCTCCCCCAACTGTTATAGCCAAATAAACCCAAAGGGTGCTGCCATCTTATGATGAAGACCTACTTGCCTAACTGCAACGACAAGTTGAGTAAAGGGTAGCTAATAGTATCCTACTTCCCTGGCCATAGGGACTGACTGGACAAGGGTTAAGCCCATGTCTCTAGCCATGAATACATGTAAGCCATTAAGTGCCATGAAGGAAGAGGATACAGGGATCCGATCTTGTCAAAGAAGCTGTTGTTAAATGGAGGAACAGTATGAGTTTAAAGTTGTTAACCTTGGACAAATCATTATTCCAGTTTTGGACTTCAATTTTCCCTTCTGTAAGACAAGAGGACTGAGGGAGAGATTCCAGAGGGACCACATCTGGGCTTTGGCAGCCTATCCTCACTCACCTGCTTCATTTACAGACATCCAGTTGCTCTACAGAAGGCCCAGAGTGTGCAAGGTTCTGTTGTAGCTGCTGTACGGGTTAGAATACACCTGCTAATTTGTCTCTTTAGCAGTTATGTAAAAGTAAAGGCAGTTGGGACCAGCTGCTAAGTGAGTACCAGCAAAAATTTGCAAGCCGCTATAAGTTTGCAATTCTGAAATCCACAGGACTCTGAAAACCAAGCTTTTTCTTGTCTATTGCAAAACTAATTTGGCTATAAAATATGACCTGAAATTCATGTGAACACATTTTACTGTGGCCATTATTTTCAGCCATAGATTTCTTTCGAGAACATGCTATGGATGTTTTATGAATTACTGCTGGCCACAAGGCTTTTGGATAAGGGATTGTAGATGTATATAATTACCTACCTACCTGGTCATTAGCTAGTACTCTCTAGGGACAAAATATTTTACCTACGTGTGATCTCATTTATATTCTCAACAAACCTATTGGCACATTGGTTATCATCCTTATTTTACAGATGGCCAGTTTAGGGGTTTTGCTTGCCGCAGATTATACAGCAGGGGCCAGATGAAGAGAAGAAATCTTGAAACATGACCAAATTTGGATGAGTGGATATGGAAAAAGGCGGTATATTTAAAAAGCTGTAAATATTTTGAATGGGAGGATTCTGAATAAAGTAATATTTTAGGCTATCCTTTGGTTGAAATGGAGGAACAATGTGAGTTATAGTTGGAGATAAGGAAATGCAAGGCCAGGCACTGTGGGCTTTCAGCTGTTTGTTCTGGAATATTTAGAAGGACTGATAAACATTAATGTGGCTTCAGGCATCAGGAGAATCCACTGCTTTCCCCATTAAACTTATAGGATATACCTTGTGGATATTAGAGTATATGGAAGCATACTGAAAGCTTGTCATCACTGACTGACATTTAAATGTGAAGAAACCATCACCATCAATTTGGACAAAGGAAAAATTAGAATTCAGCTCCAGTTTACATAGCAATTCTTCAATATTCTTCAGAGAATAACCATTAAAAGTGTTCAAATTACTTAAGAGCAAGCAAAATGACATCTTAAGTACATTATATATTCTTTATACAACCTAGTATAAAGACAAACAAAATCATTCAGAAAAGGAAAAAACTCCATGTCCATACAGGTGTCCAAAGATCAGCACAGTACTAATGGTATATAACAGGAGTTTATGGAAAACTGCTATTAGAAGACAGATTAATCAGATATTCAGATACATGAAATCAGACGGTAAGTAGTTGGTTGGTTGGGTGTGTGGATGGATGGATGGGTGGAAAACTAAGATTTTGCAAAGGATGAATTTGTTATTAAAGACCAGTTAATTTTTATGATAAAAGTTTTATCAGTAGAATTAAATGATACAGAAAAAGTCATTTTAAGAGAAAAAAGTCATTTTTAAAATAAAAGGTTAAAATTTGGAAATTTCTGTTCTTCATTTATTATAGTTTTCCACACTGGCATTTTTCATTATAGTTGGGAAAACTGTACTGTCTCTGATTTGGTATTTAGTTACATACCCCTAGTGTCATCAGCACACATGTAACTATTGCCTATGGAAATTCACCAACCCTCAGTTATTCAAAGTGTCCACTCCTAATTATCCACTGATAGCAAAGCAAGTATTGTGCCCAAACAAGTTTTATTTTGCAAAACATTATATGATATGAACTCCACTGCAAAATAAGGGAACAAATTATTTTTAAATTATATAATCCAGAAGAGAAACGGAGTGAATGGAGGTCTGGGGACTGAAAGGATCCCTTGTGGGGAAGGGGAAGAAGACAAAAATACATCACCCAAGATGAGGTAAAGGGACCAGGAACCACAGAAAAAATAGTGCAATATGTCTAGGAATAGAAGAAACAGACTGTGTGTGTGTGTGTGTGTGTGTGTGTGTGTGTGTGTGTGTGTATTCATTGTCAATAACATGCGTCATTCAAACTATTGCTAATAAAAACAGTGAATCTAATGAAAATATTCACACAGCATTATGTAGGCAAATATGTTTAAAAAAATATTTTAATAAGCATATTCAGAATGGCAGACAAGGAATGGGAGAAGGGAATTATTTTACAGTGCAAAATTACTATGCATAAATTTAACATCTAATTTGAAATTTTAAATGCCTATTTAAATATTACTTCAAATACATTTTAAAGCTCAACAAACTTGTGTTGAACTGAATTGCAGATCCTGAACTCTATTTGAAAATACATCATGAAACAGAAAATACCATTCCCAGTGAAAATAACAGTGCTTTGTTGGGGGTGGAAATGAGGCAGGGCAACTAAATCACTATTAACAGACTTCTTTTCCCAATGCAGTTTGTCAAGAGTTCAAAAGTTCTGAAATGTACTAAATCTTAAGCAAATTAAATTCATGATATTACTAAAACTTTTTAAATAGTGCAATGACTTATCAAGTTATAGTGGCTGCATTATGAAGAACAAATTACTGTGTGAAATACCTGTATAAACATAAAATACATTTAAATATTTCTCTACAAAAAGCTGAGCATTACACATTATAATAGTGGAATGTCTTTCATTAGGTATATTTTTAAAAGATTAAGAAAAGTAACATTTCCACATGTATACATGTGCCATATTTGCAAACATGCCTGAGAATTTACTTAAAACATTTCTGTAGTAAGAGTTTGCAAGAACTTCACAATCTTGCAAATAAAATGCATCTTCTTAAAAAGGTGAAAATGGCATCTCCAACACTGCAGCAATTCAGAAAGTACAGCATCACTAATCTTCAAAACCATTTCTACAGACCATCTTTGACAAAGAGCTAGGATACTTTGGATTCATTTAATAAAAAATGATTTAGAAAACAGATTGTGGCCATCTGCTAAAGCTACTGCCATTTTGGATAAATTAACGTTTTAAGTAAAACAAAACAAAAACAACAAAAAACTCACACTTCTCAAAACTTCCAACCAAAACTCTGATTTACTTAGATATGTATGAAACAACAGTGAATGTACATTAATATGAAGTCAAGTGTTGTAAAGTGGCTTTTAACACTGTTTGGGGAAAAAAAGTTCACATTGGTGAAGGGAAGCAATCTGAACATATGTTAACAGTAATACTTCATGGGGGTAAGGCCTAAACGATAACTTCTCAGTGCAAACCTCCACCCAATTGCATCAGACAGTTGAGCCATTTAAAACAAGACCACAGAAGCTTTATTTTAAAAAGGCATTGGCTCTTGAACTGATGGCTGAAAGTGAATTGGAAGCAGCATTTGGAGTATGCCTGTGTGAGAAAAACAAGAATAGTTAATAATCTTTTATAAAAGTTTGGATATAGGTTGGTCTATCAGCTATATAAAACTACATTTTTAAACAAGAATTTAGCACTAAAAATAAAATGGCACTCTTACAAGGCTATGCAGATGGATAATCCTATTTGTAATCACACAGAGCAATGATTATTGTGTATCTTATTTTCACTTTGGAAAAGCATTATCAAATCTGAAAAACTGGATTGTAACTAGAAAACTCTGAAAATTTTTCAAACTTCACTTTCTCTTCATAAAATCAATACTGCCTGCCAACAGTTGTTCCTTGTGTGTGCCAGTATCTAAGTATCACTTGACCCCCTCTATTTAATGCAGAAATGGGAAATTTTATGATGCATATAAAAATAACAGGATTCTGGTCAGCATGACATATTTAAAAGCACTTAAGCTGACATTAAACTTTTGTTTTGCTTTAAGAATAATTTTGAAAATTAATAGCAAATGCAAAACAAAATGCAATCTAAGCATCATGCTTAATTTCCGAATTCTCAAATTACTTGCCGTTAAGTAGAAATTTGAAAAACAAAAACAAAAACAAATTTTTATAATCTTTTATGAATGCTTTTACCACCTGGATAAGAAATATGACTTAATTACTACACAAACACTTAAAAAATCATTAGAAAAACCTTAGCAAAATAAAATGAAAGCTGACAGACTCAGAATAACAATTCCTCTCATAAAAGTTTACCAACTGTACAAGTTAAGAAAATTATACAAGCTTTTGTATTAAGAAAGGACAGCTCAGTCAAGACATATGTACTGTAAAAATCTTTCAAAGGCTACAAAGAATCTGGAAAAATACAGAATGTATTTCTTAAGCCCAGATAAGAATATGGAAAGACATCATTGATGTCAACAATTTTACATATACAAACCTGACCTGGTTTATTTTTAAACTTCTATATATAAAAAAATCATGCTAGCATAATTTTCAGGATTCATAAGGGTTTCCTTAATAATGATACTCAAACTGTATGGCAAGAAAAATGTCTGTTATAAAGACAAGACATTTCAAGAAACTCAGAGAAACTGGTGTTAAGCAGAAATTTGGACTTGAGTTTTTTCCCATTCCTCCATCAAACTAAGCAAAAATTACCTCGTAGTGAAATTTTATGATTAATACATCAAATGAGAAGGTGCAGATATATCTTTAGTTCACTCAAATTTACTAATTTTTAAAATATCCTTAAAAGAGTCTGACAGCTTTAAAGTAAAAAAAATCTGCAAAAGGCAGAATTATGAAACCTCATTTCCTAAAGTTAAGACTCAATTCAAATTTCCAAATTTTAACAAACTGCTTCAAGAAATTCAACTTTTTAAGGTAACCCATCAACCCTGAAAATTTTAGTCACACCAGAATTTACTCCAAAGAAAGTAAAATAGGTCTAAAATTTAGTCATCTGTGTTTTCAAGTTCTTCAAATTTCCCATGTGAGACTGCTTCTTGGAAAAATTCAGAAGAACCTGGACTTTCTTTTCCACTGCTGTTTACCCTTCGCCTTTTGGCAGGTCTCTCACTTTTTTCATCAAAATCGTTTTCATTTCTTGCAGTCATATGGGCAAGTTTTGGGTCAGTGGTAAGGTTATCTGTTTCATAACCATTAGTATCCATATCTCCATGAAGTGGTTTCTTATTTCCACCTGTTGGTCCATTAATGTGTAACCCTTCAACTTTTACTTCTTCTTTGTTTAATATTTCACCTGGTCCATTAGATGACACTCCTAAGTTGAAAGAAACATAAAATGAAACCACAATTACAAAAAAGCTAAATTTGCAAACTACTGTAAAACAGCTTACTGTAAAATTGCTATTGTTATCAAGTAAGCAAGGTATCAAATATATATATACAGTCTGAATTCTTGCTCTATTACTTATTAGTTATGTGACCTTAGGCAAATTATTTACTCTTTCTCTACCTCCATTTCATTACATATATACAATGAAGATCATAATAGAAATTCCACACAGGGTTGTTGTGAAAATTAAATAAGTTCATAAATGTAAAGAACTAAGAAGAGAATTTGGCATATATTAAAAGCATTTTAGGTATATGTGACAGCAAATAAGCACTGGATCCAGAAATCTAAATAAGCTGAATTAACAATGAAAAATGCAATAAATTACTCAGATTTAACAAAAGGTTTTCAACATTCTGAAACTATGTAAAAAGCAAAATGAATATCCTTTCTTATAAAAGCTTGAGTAAGCTACCATATAAAGGCAAGATATGATGACTTTATTCTTAATGTAAATCTCTGGGAACTGTGCTTTTAAAACATCACATACAACCAGGCATGGTGGCTCACGAGGTCAGGAGTTCAAGATCAGCCTGGCCAATATGGTGAAACCTCACCTCTACTAAAAATACAAAAATTAGCCGGGCGTGGTGGAACAGGCCTGTAGTCCCAGCTACTCAGGAGGCTGAGGCAGAAGAATTGCTTGAACCTGGGAGACGGAGGTTGCAGTAAGCCAAAATGGTAACACTGCACTCCAGCCTGGGCAACAGAGCAAGACTCCATTTCAAAAAAAAAAAGATCACACACTATTTACCTAAGTAGACTTAAATATATCTGTCATAATGTTAAAAAGCTAATGTTGCCCTATCCAAGCATATACTTGAAAGTGCTAAAAGTAAAACAAATTCTTCTACAATAGAGGAGAAAAGTAAAAGCAAAATTATTGTAATAAAACAGAAAAGTTCACTTTAGAGTTGACTGTAAAATGAATGGAAATTTTAGTGATACGAAGTAAAATATAGGATGCATCATCACTGAATAATTACAATTTAATTGCCTGAAAAATATTCAACATAAAGGATGAGCCTCAAATATTGTATTTTGATCAAACAAAATATTTTGATCAACTCAAAAATGCACTCAAATCATGAATGCACATGGGGATTATGCATCATAAGATATTGAAGAGAACAATTCTGTAGGATCAAGTCCAAAAAGCTAGCTGAGACTGTGATTAGGTCACAAATAATTGTAAGATTTCAAAGTACTAATTAAAATCCCATATAAAAAAGTACTATAATATTGGGATGGAAAGTTCCTTCCTTTCTTTGAAAAAGCTGGCAGTCTTGACTGTACATAATGTGAGTGGCTTTTGAGCTACGAGTAATTTATAGTAATTTAGGATAGTAACTTAGGAACACTATCCTAAAGAAGCATGTTCTCATCAAAGTTTTTTAAAAAGGAAAAGAAAATGATTTATTTAGTGTTAATATGTTAAGAACAAACAGGAAAAGCAGTAGTAGTCCCAACTGTCTGCCTCCCTGAGCCAAGGAGTCTCAGCCTCTTAATCTACTTTAGAATGAATGTGGCAAACATTAGACATCAATTCAGTGAAACTTCTTGAACCAGGACGTAACTACTGGGCCCTAAGTTTTGTTTGTGTGGTTTATTCTTAGAAGTAGTGAGAGAACAGAGAGGAGTCGTGAAATGAACTAAGCATATGCACTCCAATAGTACCAATGTGAGACCAAAGGTCAGAACAATGTCAAAGTTTTCATAGTGTTTTTCTTCCAGTTTCTGTCAGGGAGAAGTCAGCTCTTCACTGGTACTCTCCTAATCTCTAATTTCACCAGTTTCCTCAGAGAAGTTGGTGGTGGAGCTTATTACTTTCTTCTTGGAACTCTTTTACTTAACAAGACTATTTAATCAAAGAAGAAATCAAAATTCCCTGGCTCTTACTACTGATCAGCACAGGGATCTCTGGTCCACTGTATATTTTAAATGGAAAACGCTATCTGAACCCCAGAAATTGGTATACCTTTTGTTTCTCTTTTTCTTGGAAAGAAAAATATTTCTGTAGAATATTAATGTACAGATTGATACTGGCTTTATCTTTTCTCATCAAGGTTATTATGCTATCAAAGAGAACTTAAATATTCCAAACAGTGCCTTTGTTACCTATATCAAGGTATTTCACAATTATCTGTATATCCTCATGTGAAACTGTTAGAGGTTTGATCTATGAGTTAATGTAAATACTTGTATTTAGGCGTCAACCCAACCAGATGACAGGAAAAGAGATGCTACTGAAAAAGAACACACATTTCTTAAAAGAAATAGTCACTGTTGATAGTATGCTTTATTAAAATTACTTTTTAGTGATGCTGATGGGAATTACTTTCTATTCTATTAGTATATATGTATGCTGATGTTATGTATGTTTCATGTGTTCTTTACAATTTTTTACTTTCTGCTCTGGAAGTTTAACAGAAACCTAAATTAAATTTCCCAAGTCACTGAAGGAAAAGTGTCCCTTATTATAAAGAAAGAGAGATGTTTCTCTGTTTGCTTACCATTCTGATTAGTAGTGCTTAGAGTGCCATCTTCTTTCTCTGACTGGCTGTTACTACTATTTGATGCAGTTGGGGGAGGAGATGGTGCTCGACTAGATGCAGCACTTTCACTTTCATCTAGAAGACGATCCATGTAATCCCTTAAAATTAATAAAACAATTATTAAAAAGCTGAAAATTAAAAACAACTTAAATTCGGAAAGCTTTGTTAACAAATATATCCTAATATTCACTTACATTCATTCCAGTGCTTCATCTATCACACCAGGATCTGAACATTTAAATGAAAAGCTCCTTTTGGTTACATGTTTGTAAGAAAAATGCTTAAAGGCTTTAACCAATTTTAGAGACCCACAGGAAATTGTAAAACAGGTATAAAGTTGTAGGTAAGTGCTCAGAGTAGCCCAAATAGAACTGGAAGATCTCTAACTTAAGTGACAGGGGTGATATCTGGCAAGAGTACAAAAGAATTTCTGTACAAATACAGATGGCATTTTAATGCTCCTTAAGGCAATACCTAAAAGACAAATTTGAGTCTAATATAAAAAGGACTGATCACCTCCTAAAACTTTCCTAGATATTTTTGGTATTATACATTTCTGCCAGATCTGAGCTATAAGAAGCTAACTAAATTCCTGGGATTATCTGCTGGCTTTATCCTGTCACTTTCTCATTGTGTGTGAGTTCATTTCTTTTCTAAGTCATTCCTGAACTACATAACTGTGGTAAGTGACATTAGGTTGGGGTGAGAAGATCTGGGATAGAGACTTCTCTCTCTCAGGTTTAGTGTATGCCTATAAAATGTAGATAAACCATACCTCTCCTATCTAACACACATGGTTATACATATAAAAATGTTTCATAATCCAGAAAGTGCTACTAAACCACTAGAATAAAAGTCAGCAAACTAGAGCCTGTGGGCTGGCCATGTGTTTTTTGTAAATAAAGTATTATTGGAACCCAGCCACACACATTTGTTTACATAATATCTAGGACTACTTTCCTGCAACAACTGTGGAACTGAGTAGTGTAAGTCCTTTCTTACTACAGAACATAAAATATTTATTATCTACCTCTTAGTAGAAGTTTGCTGATACTAGATACTGCACGAGAATTCCTCAAGGACAGGGATTTTAGTCTATTTTGCTTACCCTTGCACCACTGGTACCTAAGTTGTGCAAGGCACAGAACAGAAACTCAGTAAAATTGTAATTGTGTTATTTATCCTAAAATTCCTTCAGAATAAGTATAATAGAAATATTAGGACACATCTCTTAGAATTGTGCAAGCAGGGTAAATAAGAAGGTAACAGTGGAAGTTCTAAGGAATTTTTCTGAAAATCTGTGTTAATAGTCCATAATATGCTATTAACTGTAGTTATCATTTCAACCTGTATGATCTTCTCTTGGGTTATAGGGATATAACAAATATAGGGATGTGATACCTGACTTCAATAAACTTCTAATAGTTTGAGGTATAAAACTAATACATATCACAGAAATGTATGACCATGGCCTACTCAATTTACATTCATTCTATGCCTTATTTTCCTCATCTATAAATGGGGGGAATTCAATTAGCTGGTCTTGAAGACCTCTTCAGATTTATGCTATTCATCATAATTACAGAAATAAGTGTGATGAGTCCCAAAGGGTCTTCAGGTGCTAAGACTAACAGATGCATGGCGAGGATTTGCTAGAAATAAATAATGTTATGGTGGCAATGGATAATATGAAGGAAGTTAAAAGCCAAAGCAAAGGAACAAGAGTTGATATCAAAATTATTTTTAATTTTTGGATATAGTCATAATTCAATGAAAGAATAATTATCATCATTATTACATAAGATTAAATAATAGCATCCAGAATGTTCAGGAAAGGACAGAGTCAAACAAACCATCCAGAAATTTGGAGCAGCATTCAGGTAACCTAACTTATGCTGAGTTAATTTTTACTTTTTGGAAAAATTATTTGGAAAGCTGAGTATATAACAATGAAATCTCCAACAGGGCTCCCAATTTTTCCAGGTAGTAAACAGGGACAATGTGTAATAGAATCTTTTAAAGGTTGTTTGTAGGCAGAAAAGGGGCAAATGTGTTTCACTCTGGTGAACAAATAGAAGGTCAACCATTTAATGACAAAATGAACAAAGAACTTTCAGGATAATGTGCTCTAAATTATGGATTTTGACCTAAAAAAGAAGGATGAGAAAACTAAACATATTAGCTTAAATGTTTTATGAAGTCACTTAAAGTGTAGCTATTAGTAGAAAGAGATGGTCTTGGAAGCAAATCAGAAAAATGTATCCCCATCTGGAAAGAAATGTACCATTTGGTCACTGCTTCTTACAGAAGACATAACACAGCTAAAAGGGAAGAGTCTCAAGTAAAAAAGTAAAATTCTTTCAGTTAAATAAACTTTATACAAAAAAAAAAACCCAGTGGGGCTATAATTGAAGCCTACAAAACCATGGTATTCCTGCCTAAGGGAAAAAACACATTAGTTTACTTCATACCATTATACCAGGTGACCACTGTTAAGATACTGTTTACTTTTAACTGCTGCCAATCTACCTACAGAATATTTAATCTTAAGAGTCATCAAAGTTACAGATAAAAGTATCTTCAAAAGTTTTCAGAAGCTATGGAGAGATCATTAGAGAAATGAGAACATTTGGTGGCACATCTCTACCTAACCTGTTGAGCTTGACATCACAGAGGACCAACTAAGCCAGCCACACTTTGGTGATGCTTTCTGAAAGAGAAAACTAGATGAACCATGGGTCTGACCCAGTATGGCCATTCTTATGTTGTTACTCCTGATGGTGACAGACTGTAGCTCATGTGTGAACATGATTTCTGAAATGGGTGGAAAACATAGAAGATGTAACTATTGCTTTTCCCTATAGAATAGCTTGAAAGCCATGACTATTTTAAGATATACTCTGCAGACCAGATACTCTGCATCATTATGCTTGAATACTACCAATGAAAAAAAAACTTAACTATGAATTTAACATTAATTAGATAAAATTTAGAATACTGCTACTTATGAAATTCCACTTTAGCAATCACCAGCTGTGAATAATGGAAGGCTATGTACACAGTCCATTGTCCGATGATTTCCAAGGGTGAATCATAAGGATGAATCATAACCATTTTACTGTGGGCTTTAGAGCATTTGACCTTCCAAGGAAGTGATCAGCAGAGACACCTATAAATGAACTTGACCAAGAAACAGTGCAGCCTAGGAGCCTGAAGAGCAAGATCAAATAAACATACAAGCCCATCTTTCAAAGGCAATTATTTGGTCAGCTTTAAAAACATCTTTACTGGAGTACATTGAGTAAATAAGTCAGAGCCTTGCATTATTTTTTTATTCTGTAAACATTAGGGAATAATTAAGAATAGTACTGTAAAGTTAATTCCACCAATTAATCAGCATTTTAAAGCAATTCATGAGAGACAAAGGGTTCAATACTCTTTGTATTTAAGTAATAAATTACCAGTGGTAGTGGAATGTTTCACTCGAAAACTAGATCGAATGAGGTAAAGACAATAAATTCTCTTAATATGGGAACTGAATTAGGCATATCAGACATTTTACATAATGGATATAACAACCCGTATCTGTGTCACTGGGACTAAACTAGAGTTGCATTACTAATTCTTAAATATTACTTTTATTAGAGGAAAGGTTCAGGAAAGCTAGGAAAAGCAAAGTCACCATATACATGCTTTTTCTCTATAAAAAAACTTATAACAAAAAATAAGATGCAATTTGACCTGATTTATTACATTGCTATGATTTTTCTTTTATATCATCTATATTCAAATCTTGTTTTCAGGTTCCTGGGGTCAATTAGACCAAGAAAAATATTAATTTCATGTGCTCTTTAAAGGGCTTCCACTGAGCATACAGTCCTACAGTTTTAGAAAAGATATTCTTTCTTTTTTCCTATTCTCACTGCTTTCCAACCGTCACAAGATTAAAACTGTATGCCAGGTGCAGTGGCTCATGCCTGTAATCCCAGCCTTTCAGGAGCCCAAGGCAGGTTGATCACTTGAGGTCAGGAATTCAAGAACAGCCTGGTCCACACAGTAAAACCCCATCTCTACTAAAAATTCAAAAATTAGCGAGGCATCCTGACAGCCATCTGTAATCCCAGCTACTCAAGAGGCTGAGGTAGGAGAACTGCTTGAACCCAGAGATGGAGGCTGTAGTGAGCCAAGATCACACCACTGCACTCCAACCTGGGGGCAAGAGATTGAGATGTCTCCAAAAAAGATAAAATAAAACAAAACAAAAAAAACTGTATGTGCTTACACTGAATGGAACTGAATTTAAAAAAAACATGCTTTCACAGCTGTTCTGATCCATTTCTTCTCAAGGGTATATTAAAAATATATGCTCTATATCTTCCCTTAATGATATGCATGTCTCTTATGAACTGTAGTTTACAATATTTTTTAAGATACTGAGAAGTCCAAATGCCTTATATGAAGATATAATAGATGGTAAAGTTAAACTAATGAATATCTATTATAAAAGCAAGATTATTTATATTGCTTCTCGGCCTTCTGGCTAAGATCAAGTGTATAAAAGCAAGATTATCAAAATCATAATTAGCTCAAGAAAAATCTAGAAAAGCTTAGCAAAAATAAATATGTAGCTCTTAAGGAAAAAATTAACTCAACTCACGTTACACCAGGATGAAGATTATATTTCTTTTTTCCAAATCGTGTTTGCTGAGCAAAGAAATCATAACGTTCAGATTTTTTCCACATGTAATAGAATGCTACACATTCACCAACTGACCTTGTTCGGACCTATAAGAAACAAATGCTTGTTTTTAAGAATCTCCTTTTTAACAAAGTTACTTTGTGATAAACATCTGAAGTTTGAAAATAAATCTAGCTAGTCCTTAACTGATATATAATACTATATATAAAATACAACACTGTAGCAGCTATGTTGAAAGCTATTCTTTCTAAACAGCTGTTAAGATAAATAATATATTGGCCACAGGTCTTCAGATATTCAGCACTGTGCTTTTTAAAAGGCTACCATCATCCTAATATACTATAAAAATGTACTCCTGTATTAAAAATACCTGGAAGTGGCATTCAGGCTAAAATAAATGTACCAGTTTGCAAATACTTTTACTCACAGAGTACCAAGGGAGTGTACCTTTAAATTGCCTTTTGAAAGGTTCTCTTAACAGTCCCAACAGCAATCCAGGCTCAGTTAATTTACTCTCTAGAAAGTCTGGGAATATGCCACAGTGAGTTAAAAGTATGATAACAATGCTAATGCTTTATTTACTAAATTACTCTTGTGGCTTACTGTGCTGTACCTATTTGTGCAACTGAATGGCTCCCCTCACATAATGTTAAATGCCTGCAGAATTAACAAATGATGTTGATAGAATCCCTTTTTGCTACTTAGCCAGGAGAGCTGGTGGTAGGGCTGATGTATACAAATAAAATACTGAGGATTTAGAGCTGATATATATAAATAAAATACTGATAACTTTTTCCTTTCCTTTTTTTTGTTTGAGACAGAGTCATGCTCTGTTGCCCAGGCTGGAGTGCAGTGGCTAATGGCTAACTGCAGCCTTGCCCTCCCAGGCACAAGCAATCTTCCCACCTCAGCCCCCTCTATTAACTGGGACTACAGATGAATGCCATCACACTCAGGTAATTTTTTTGTTTTTTGTAGAGACAGGGTTTCGCCATGTTGCCTTGGCTGTTCTTGAACTCCTGGGCTCAAGCAATCTGCCTGCCTCAACCTCCCAAAGTACTGAGATTACAGGCATGAACCACTGCACTGGCAACACGAATTTAAAAGGAAAATCAGTGTCTTTATGTGTTTTGGAAGCAATACGTTACTTCTTTATCCCACAAATTTCTGCTCTTCAAGTAAATATTTTGTAGCACTGATTGCATCTAAAGGACAATTGTTGATGTATTTTGCTTTCTTCCCGTTTATACTTTACAGCTCTGATCCATATTGCTCTGAGACTGACAGCAATCAGAGCTTTAAAGAAATCATTCTCACAAGCTCCTTTTTGCCTCCTCTAGGATCTTATTTCTAGATAGATTCAAGCTAAGTCAACTGTACTTTACTGAAAGCAAAAACATAAAGTCATTTGGGGGCATGCAAAGTTAAGATTATGAAAAATCTTCAACAAAAGCCCTCATAATAGAACTTACTATTAAGATCTGAACTTTAATTCCAGATATAAAAACAAACTTGATACTCTCACTAGACCAGTCTTCTCTCTTTTAAAGAATTACTGTCCTCTTTTTGTTCACTAGAGTAACTTAGTATATTACGTAGAGATAAGTTGACTTCTACCTTGTAACATTTAAATGCCACTGTCCCAAATATTTACAAGAAGCCAAGGTCACACTTTTCCAAAGTGTATACAGTTTTGAAACTAATTATATTGTCTTCTGTTATCCTAAATGCTAAAACTAAAAATCTTGGGAGGTCTTGGGAGCCTCCAGGGAGCAGGTAGATCTGAGTGGGAAGCTGGTGGGAACAGAAGAGAAGTTGACTCATTTAAAGGAGGCAACCACAGTTTTACTCAGCCAATGGTTGCCATGTGTGAATGCTTTTTTTTTTCCCCCCAAGTAAATCTGTACTTTTTAATTTTGGCAATAAATTTTTAAATCCCTCAGTTTAAGCCACCTTGTGAGACAAGTTGTTAGTAAGCTGTTGGAACAGACAGGTGATGAGGGGTTAAACTAGAGTTTGGTCATTGAAAACTAATTAATTTATGCTGTTTTATCCCTGGAGTCATGATTACCTGTTTAGTTTCTTTTATAGCAAATTTTCAGAATGATAAAGGATTGAGTGTGTAGCCTGTCAAGACTCTTCAGTCTTTCCTCAATATGTCATGCTTAAACCCTTAGGTGTAAATCTAGTGTTGATGGCAGATTTATTTATTTTTTTTTTGTCTGACTGTGGTCCAGTAACAACTCAAAGTAGTTATTTACTACATGTTTATTGAAAAAAATTAATAAACATCAACTTATTGATAAACAAAAAAAACCTGTCTATTAGTATAATCTGAGGTAAAGTGCCAACAACAAAATAATTAACAACAAACTAGTTGGGAGCGGGGCTCTTCACTGCCCAGTTCTTGCTTAAAAAAGAAAAGGAGAATGAACTGGTTAATGCACAACAAAATTTAAGAAATGAACCCACAAGATTTATAAATATTTTATTAATAACAAAAAATATTAAATATGTGTCAAAAAAATCAACTGGACACAATCCAATCATATCCAGATGTATAAAAAGAGAGATGTTGTAGAAGACTATTCAGAGCCTCAGATGTAAACCCAGATACTTTCAACATGGTCCTAGACAAGCTACTACACAAAACTTAGAAGCTATCTTTAAGGATTACATAGAGCCACTATCCTTGTCATTTCTATATTAACTAAAAATAATGTGATAATCATAAGCCTAGGAATTAATTTCTTACATTTAAGCTCCAAGACTAATTCTGCCTGTCCTAATCTGTTGTTCATGGAAACAACACATTTTTCTATGCTATATAATTTATATAGTTACTATTAAAAATCTTACCTAATTTCTGCTAAGAACTGAACCCCAAAACAAATCTGTAAGTAATTATAAAGTTATCTGGAGTATACATTACATCACTGATATTATCAACATGAAATAATTATGTTAAATAAAATCCTCAAATTATAACAACTATAATATAAAGCTGATTTACTGACAAAGAAGCTACTAGAAAATTAAATTAATGTTGATTAAAACTAAGTTAAATCTTAACTATTTGATTTTAGACCACTCATGATTTAACCATAATAAATATTTTAATTGCAAATAATGTCATGTTGAAACTGCTTTAAAGTTTCCAAATTATTTCAAAGGCCCTCCACAAAATGTTCAGTCACAGATTGTGGAAAACAGCTCTAAAGAACTGCATTGCACATACACACCCCAATTAAAAGTTGATTAACATGCTTGTAAATGAGTACAATTCTTAAACACTTGCAGTATGATGCACTGAAAACAGTCACCAATAAGGAATTATAGGTCAGGAAGTATAGGCAGTCTTACTATAATTACTCACTAAATACCAAAATATTGTAATATTAATTATAAAACCCTAACACTAGACAATATAGCAAATTAAGATACATAACCATTTGAGTTGTTCAACTAAATTTCTTTTTGCAAAGAAGAGATTATCATTACTTACTTTATTAGCCTGAATCAAATGAAAATCCTTTCCATAGGCCTTCAGCCCTTGTTCAAAATTTCTACACTCTTCTTCTGTCCAAACAGATAATTCCTCTGACAAGATGGGAGGAACAAACTGTTAAGCAATATTCTCCCAAATATTGCATATTAACAAAACTGCAAATAAAACTTAACTTTCTGGTAAAAATGAGGGAAACATTTTACTCCTGAGCTCTATTACTAATTGTTGCAAAAGATAAAGTGACAAAAATTACTTACTCAAGAGTATTTTGAATGATTTGGTCCCTACCTCTCCAGCTTTAACTTGGGCTACTTTCTTCTTAATTCTTCATGATCAAACTCTATTAGCCACCTTTAGATTCCTTAGATTTGCCACGGTCTTTCTTTCTTCAGACTTTGTGCGTGGTGTCTCTCCTTTGCCTAGAATTATTTCCTGCCTCTACCTCATCCCCTTTACTGAGATAATTTTTTTGCATCCCAATAAAAATACCACTTCATTCTGAATGCTTTCCCCAACAGCCCTACTCTCTCCCCCAACTAGGTTAAGTCCCATTTCAATAGTTTTCAATAGCACCCTCTAATTTTCCTTGAAGAATTCATCATATTTTCCAGTTTCCCTACCTAGGATCTAAGCACCATGAGGGGAAGGGACTTTGTTTATAGTTAACATCCTCAGAACTTAGAAGGCATTCACATTTTGTTAAATAAATAAGTATCTCTTATTTGTTACATTATATATATATATATATATGGCTTCTACCACTCTTAAGAGTACTACATACTCAGTAAGAGTACTACACATACACACACACACACACACACACTCTTCAGTAAGAGTACTACATAGTGTGTGTGTGTGTGTGTGTGTGTGTGTGTAATACTCTTACTGAAGAGTGGTAGGAGCCAGATTTAGTATAAAAAAGAAAAATCCAAATTTTGTTTCATGGCTTCATTACTGAAGAACTATTGTTTGCTTTAGCCAAGTTACTTTAGTTTAGAGATCTCAGGCTCATCAATTTTTACCTTTAAGTGAAGGCATTACCTGTCATACTACCTAGTTCATGGGGCAATTATCAAGATCAAATAAGAAAATATTTATAAAACATGCCTTAAAAGCATAAGGCAGTATGTATTTTTACTTATATGATTGTATTTTCTCACAAAGAAGGAAGGGATGACCTTAATCCCACTCCCCATAATGACTTGGATAATACTTGGTATTTTCCAAACTCAGAAAAATCAGTATTATTAAAGTTTAGGCTATATCTAGGTAAACTGAAAAGCTTAGTTAAAAAATTTTTGCCAAATCATTAAAATGAATAAAAACTATTTATACTTACCTCTAGCTGCTTTTACATTAAATCTTAATCTTCTCAATGCTTCTTCTGTATCAAAATTGCATTTAACCAATTCATATAAAGCCTAGAAAAATAAAAGGCTTCAATATGTGAACTGGACTATAATAAACAGTTCGATGCTACAATTTCTTAAGAATAAAGGTTTTTCAAAAATCCAGTGTTTTCATCCTTTTTTGAGGAAAATAACTTTAGTGAATGTCATAGAGAACACCAAAGAAAAACAAATATGATTTCAAACCTGATTAATTAACTATCTTTAAATATGTACAAAGTAGGATATATAAAAACTTGGTGGCCACAGTATCCTAGGAACTAAAAAATTCATTTTGTATCAGTGAAAATCCCTTCTTTGTGGCTTCTTGAGATTCCTATAATTTTAATCAGAAAAGAAAAGCAATGATTAAAAAGGTAAAAAAGATAATGCTGTTATATTAAGTTCATGGTACATATTAGGTTCACCATGTACACTATACTATCTGAGATGAGAATTCCAACTTGGTATCTACAGCTTCTTAGGGATAGCCAAAGGAATTTTAAAAAGCTGAATTAAAAGTATATAGAGGCAAAATAAAACATCAAGGGTTTTGTTTTGTTTTTGAGCTTCGCAACAATGAAGTCAGTGTGGTTACAATGGGTATCTTATAAAAGGTTCATAACCTCAGATTCCCTGTTGATAATGTTACAAAAATTTGGGTGGAGAGAATAACAACACTGAAAGTGACAGCATTTACATGTATAAATGTGGATGGCAAAGTTCTAACAGTTGTTTCTTATTCACATACCTGTTCATTGTCTTTTATGTGAGATCCTTCAGGAATTGCTTCTACACCTTTCTCATCACCTGTTCTTCTAGATGCATCTTTAAGAAATATAATCACTTTATCTTCTGGTAAGTACTCAGGGTCCCACAAGAGCTGATCATCATTTTCATATACTAAATTAGTAAAAGACAATATTAAAAAAATTTCTAAGAACTGACAAACTGAGTTTGTGTTAAAACATATTATTAAATAAACAACTCATACTTAGAGCCAAATGTTAAGAACTCAGGTACAGTGTGGTTCTACTACTTGGCTGACTTCTTTCTTGGGCAACAATTATAGTCTAGGTGAATTAAACAGTTTAAACAGAGAGGAGGTACCACTTTATGCCCCTGCAGATCCAGTCTGACTTTATCTTGACTTTACCAAATTCCAAGCTCTCTTGGTTTGAATACCATCTCTACCGCATACTATGTATGTGTATGATGGCCTTGGGCAAATTACTTCCCTTCTGTCTCATCTGTGAAAGGAGGTAACAATTAACTCTACCACCTAGTGTTAAGGATTTACAACACTTCACAAGCATTCTGGTACATATTAAAATCCAATATTTTAACTATCAATATTATTTTTTAAAAAATGTCTAGAATGCTCACCAAATGATAACACTGCTTAATTCCTGGTGGTGGGATGTGAGGTAAATTTTACTTTCTTCTTTAGATTTTCTGTGATGCTTGAGTATATAATGTATATAAATCATTTTCACAAAAACAAAAATCATTACTTTTTAAAAAGTATTTAAGTTTCATCATAATTTCCATCATAAGAAGATTAAAGCCTAAATCTAATCAAGCTTCAAAAAGTGAAAGGAAAGGAAGATTACCTAAGACAAAGCCAATGGAATTCTAAATAAGGAGAAAACATGGATAAAATTAAAGAGTCACAAATAGAAGAAATACCAAGAAGGTAACATCACAGATGCTAAGGGAAGAGTGTTTCAAAGAATAGCTTCAAAGACTGGTTAAATTCTGTTGAGTGATGAGGATGAAAACTGAAAATGGTATGCCAGCTTTACTCACAAGGAGGTGAATTTTTTAAGAACTGTTTCTGTAGAGAGATGGAAGCAATAGCCATACTGGATAAAATTGAAGAGTAAATGGAAAGTGAAGAAATAAAAAAAACTCTTGAAAAGTTTAGTTATGATGGTAGAGAGAGGGGAGTACCTAGAGAGTAGAGGTGAACAAAGTTTTTATGTTGTTCTGGTTTGTTTTCAAAGATAAGAGGCAAACATGTAAATGTAACAGGAAGGAGCCAGCCTGAGAAGATTTTGACAATGAATAACTGACAGTGTCAAAGTTTCTTTTATTATGAAAAGAAATGTACAGTTAATTAAGCATATCTTATGTACCAGGCAATGTATTAAGTATTTTCACATACATTATCTTATCTCCTTACCCACACACACTTCAAAACCTTCCACCTTTTCTTGCTTCCAAAAATAGATACTTTTCCTTAAAGTACATCTCAAGGGACAATATTCAGAAAATTTTCCTTAATAAACATTTTTCCTCTTCTTTTTTATTTTTTTTGAGAAGGAGTCTCACCCTGTAGCTCAGGCTGGAGTGTAGTGGCGCGATGGCCACTCACTGCAACCTCCGCTTCCTGGGTTCAAGTAATTCTCCTGCCTCAGCCTCCTGAGCAGCTGAAACTACAGGCGTGCATGACCACACCCAGCTAATTTCTTTATTTTCAGTAGGGACGAGGTTTCACCATGTTGGCCAGGATGGTCTCAATCTCTTGACCTCATGATCTGCCCACCTTGGCCTCCCAAAGTATTGGGATTACAGGCGTGAGCCACCATGCCCAGCCAACATCATTCCTTTTCTAATCTGCTGGTACAATCCTAGTTATACCCTAAATTATAAGTACAATAAAACTACCATGATAAAATAAATCTGGATATATTGCTGCTGATTTCCATTCTCTGCTCAGCCTCTCTTCTCCACAAACTAAAGTTCTTATATCCGCGGGATTGCTGGGGTACACAAAGCCATACATGGAAACCCTAGTTCGAAAATAATTCACCCACTATTAACTTAGGCACCAAATCAAATGTTTACTAAAGGCCTAAGGGGCAAGGATCAACCTACTTAGTAGTAAGGCTACAAAGATGAGTAAACAAAAGGTTAAAATACATTGTGGTTAGTATACTAATAATGTACATGAATTTAAGAAAATGTTAGTTAAATATAGCTCAGGAGATTTTATAACCAAAATAGATACAAGTCCAAAGAACCATGTCTGCATTATTATTCTAAACTAACAAATCATGTATATTTAACTGCTTGAATTAGGAGTGCTAACCAATAAGGAAAGTATAATCTGCCTGGAGCCTAATAAAAAAGGTCGGATGGCAGAGAGAAAAAAATTGTCAATGTCTTTCCAAGATACTAGGTAAGGAGGTTTCCATGTATCAATGAAAAGGAGAATTCTGATTCATCTGTTAAGTAGTCCCTCTAATAAAGATATCAGGATAGATATCTTAGTTTTATAGCACTTAAAAAAAGTCTGTGGTCATGAAACTGATGAAAAATATCCTGTGAAATATTTGCCATAAGAATGTACCAATTGCACTGTCCCTTTGACAAGGTTTATCTGTAACAGCATGGCTTACATAACAGTTTCACGAATTTGGTTTGTGGTAAAGGGTACCCTAAGTAGAGACAAATTCTGGATATCTTGACAAAAGTTTTAATTTCTAGAACTATAAAGCTGAGGAATGGCCCTTTACCACAGCAATTCCTCCAAAGCAATCTCATTCTTACTAAGTTTAGTCTGATCCTCTTTACACAAATTAATATGCTTAAGTTCTCAAAATGAGAATGCTTCATAAATTACTCATTCCTGAAAAAAAATTACATATGTATAATTACTTTCTAAAATCATGTTAAAATGGAAAACATTCAGTTAGAATTTAAACCATGAAAAATCAGAACAATCAGACAAGAGAAAGAAGCAAAGACAATTCAAATTGGAAAGGAAGAAGTCAAATTATCCCTGTTTGCTGATCACATGATTTTATATTTGGAAAAACCTAGACTCCACAAAAAACTATGAGAACTGACAAATTCAGTACAGTTGCAGGAAACAACATACAAACATCAGTAGGATTTCCATATGCCACCAGTGAACATCAGAAAAGGAAATCAAAAGAGTAATCCCATTTAAAATGGCCACAAATAAAAGTAAGTACCTAGGGATTAACCAAAGACATGAAAGAACTAGAAAATATTGACAAAAGAAATTAAAGAGGACACCAAATAAATGGAATGATATTTCACGTCCATGGATTCAAAGAATCGATGTTGTTAAAATGTCCATACACCCAAAGCAATCTACAAGATTCAATGCAATCCCTATCAAAATACCAATGACATTCTTAGAAATAGAAAAAAAGTTCCTAAAATTTATATGGAACCACAAAAGATCCAGGATAGCCAAAGCTATCCTATGCAAAAAGAACAAAACTGGAGGAATCACATTACCTGACTTCAAATTATACTACAGAGCTACAGTAAAACAGCATGTACTGGCATAAAAATAAGACACGTAGAACAGAACAGAGAATCCAGAAACAAACACATACCTACAGCAAACTCATTTTTGACACAGAACACTGGGAAAAGATAGTCTCTTCAATAAATGGTGCTGGGAAACTGGATATCCATATGTAGAAGAACGGAACTAGACCCCTATCTCTTGTCACATACAAAAACCAAAATTGATTAAAGACTTACATCTAAGACCTCAAACTATGAAACTACTACAAGAAAATATTGGGGAAACTCTCCAGGACATGGACTGAGGGCAAAGCTTTCCTGAATAATACCCCACAAGCACAGGCAACCAAAGCAAAAATAGACAAATAGGATCACATTAAGTAAATAAGCTTCTGCACAGCAAAGGAAACAATCAGCAAAGAGACAACCAACAGAATGGGAGAAAATACTTGCAAACTACCCATATTAGAAGGCACTAATACTAGAATATATAAGGAGCTCTAATAATCAAACAACTCTAATAATCTGATTTAAAAATGGGCAAAAGATCTGAATAGATGTTTCTCAAAAGAATACACACATATGGCAAAAAAAAAAAAAAAGTGTCCATCAACAGATAAATGGATAAAGAAAATATGGTACTTATACATAATGGAGTACTATTCAGCCATAAAAAAAGAACGAGATGCAGTCATTTGCAACAACATGGATGTAACTGGAGTTCATTATGTCAGGCATGGAAAGACAAACATCACATGTTCTCACTTATGTGTGGGATCTAAAAGTAAAAACAACTGAACCCATGGAGACAGAGTAGAAGGATGGTTACTAGAGGCTGGGGAGGTGGGTGCAGGGGAGGGGTAAGAGAGAGGTAGGGATGGTTAATGGGTACAAAAAAATAGAATGAATGCCTAGTGGTTAACAGCACAACAGGGTAACCATAATCAGTAATAACTTAATTGTATATTTTTAGAGAACTAAAAGAGTATAACGAGATTGTAACACAAAGGATAAATGCTTGAGATGATGCATATCCCATTTGTCATGATGTGGTTATTACATATTACATGCTTGTATCAAGACATCTCATGTACCCCATAACTATATACACCTACTATGTACCCACAAAAATTAAAAATTAAAATTAAGCATAAAAAATAAGAGAATGTAATCATTATTCACTGTTGAGATACAATAAAACATACTAAAATAAAAAAACAAAGTATATTTCGATAAAACTACCTTCAACTATAATATAAATAGTAAAATGTAAGTATAAAATAAACGCAATTATCTTGTCAAAATTTAAAAGAAATTTAATAAAAAGAAACAAATGTCTAACTATCAGTTCATTTATTTGCAGAAAAAAACTCGGTGGTGAACATGTGCTAACCACTATATAAGTAAAACATAAAATTGAGATTTAATTACAAAAATAAATAGAAAAGCCAACAAATCAATTATTTGTGCACACAATTGTTCACAGAACATATTATATGTATAGAATTTCAATATATAATAAAGTCACTCCATACGGATACCATCAATGTCCCTATATGTTGCAGGAATTACCTTGAAAAATAAATGCTAGCTATTAAACATTTAAATGATGTATTAAAACATATTGCTATCACAAAAACTGTACTGGCCTGTGATGTTCCCTTGACTGCCTCTGACCTGCTGCTTGCCCTGAGAGTAGGTGCATACTTAGAATATAAAGTAAGTTTTTGGAGAGAATGCTAAAAAGAAATAAACAACAAAAAAACTTCTATTAATAAAACTCCAAAGGGCTTTGTGTATATTAAGTTGAAATGTGAAGAAAACTGAAATAAAAGAAATGAAGAAAGATTTCTAGTGCTGAATGATGTCACACTACACATGAACTCATTAAAAGCACACATACACAACGTTCGTTCTGGAACTCACATGAAATTAATAATCTAAAACAGACTCTTTAAAAAAAAAAATTTAAGTATTAAATGTTACTGAAGTATGACTTACCTTAGGACTTACAAATGAAATTTTTAAAATCATATAAAATTTAAGTATACAAGTTGTTTTTTCAAATTATTTCAAAAACACAAATATCAAAGTACTCCATTTTAGTAAGTATTCCATTTTGCTTACTGAAAGTTTCAGAAGCAAATAACCTTTTATATCGTTGTTTACTCTCGAGTTTGTTTTTAATCCCTTTCACTGATATAAAATGGCCTTTAAAAAACTAAATTACAAAGGTTAGAAAAGGGTTAAAGTACAGAGCATTGAAAATATAGGGAAAAAAGAAAAAAACTGCTGAGATATTGTAAGTCACTCAAAACGAAAAAAAAAGCATTTAATTTTTTCTTTTGGCTAGGCTTCTATAGACAAAACTGAAAAAATTGAGTAAACATATTTCTTCTAACAGAAACAATGAAGGGTTCTCTTTCACAAAGCAATGGGGTTACAGTGGGGTTACTTAGTAGGCTGTCATATTCTTATTACATTTTACATATAAAGTAACAGATAACTACATTGAAAGCATGAATTCAGCTAGGTAGCTTTACTAATAACCCACCTTTTTCATTTTCTTTGTATCTACAAATGCCAACTGGAATTTCTGCTTGAAACATGGAGCCCACCATAATCTCCTATTTCAAAAATAACGTAAAACATTAATAAGATCTAGTAACACAGACTTTATATCCATTTTTTAGCTTCACCATCTTAGTAAACTGTTCCTGGTTTCTCTATCATAAAATACAAATATAACCAATTAAATACCTCAGAGGAGTACTGTGAAGATGAATGACAATAAATAATGACTGGATGAAAATATCAGTAATAATGGGTGAAATGCAATGTAAACAATAAATACAAACTTTACTTCAAAATATAGAGACAAAGAAATAAAAGTGAATTCTGATAATTCCATTAGTAAGATAACTGCAAAACACCTAAAAAACAAAGTCAAATTCAGGTATTTTCAGAATATCTACACTTAAGACAGATATGATCCCTGCATGTGCATCATCATCATCACCTAAAAGATTTTTGTTTTTTTGCGACAAGGTCTTGCTTTGTCACCTAGGCTGGAATGATCATGGGTCACTGCAGCCTTGACCTCCCAGGCTCAAGCGATGTTCTTAACTCAGTCTCTAAGTAGCTGGGACTACAGGCACATGCCACCACACATGGCTAATGGGAAACAGTTAGAAATGCAAATGCTCAGGCCCCACCCCAGACCTACAGACTCTGGGGACAGGACTGAGTCACTGGTATTTTAACAAGTTATCTAGGTAATTCTGACATACACTTACAGAACTTCAAGGTTAAGAAAAATAACAAAAAGGGTTTGTATAAAGCTCAGTAGGGGCCAAATGAATGAAACTCTAAACAAAATAGATAAGCAGGTTATGGCTTGACTTTTATTAAAACAATACAAAATGAAAAAGTAACCTCCTCCCTACAAATATAATTAAATAGGAAATCCAGTATATAGTCAAATCCCAGATTGGGTGAAACTGGCTGTTCTGAAAAGCAACTGGAAACTACCACTGGTGAAATTTCACAACTCAAGGAAACCAAGATTCTATGAACCCTCTTTTGTCTGATGGCTAAACGTTAAGAACACATTTACTGACATTTTCAAAATTGGACAGGAAAGGTACAAAATCATGGTCTAAAAGTTTAGATAATTCTTAGGATTTGAAGTCTCCTTCCTGCTATTGTTACCCCAATTGATGTGAGGATCTCATTTTATCCAGTACAACTTCAAAGATGTGCTTTATGTAATAAAGTTACTGCTATACCTGTAAGAAAAACCAATCTTTCGCATGATCAGTTTTCCAAAAAGAAACAAACTTGTGACAAATCTTCTCCACTCTTACAATGGAACTCTCTTTATGTCTTCTACTATAAAAAGGGTCTTTATTGTAACCCCCCTGGCTGGGCTGCTTCTAAAGAATCAATGCCTGGATCCATTCCAGGACAAGTAAATTTAGAATCTATGAATGAAGGCCCTGGTAATCAGTACTTCTAAGTTATACAAATGATTCTAACATAAAAACAAGGTTGAGAACATCTGGATTAGTATAAAGATAGGTACTACCTTTACCCTGTTCAGTTCAGAACATTTCTTTTCATCTGTTAATTTGTTCTGTAGTACGGGGAAGGGACAGGAAATAGCTCTTTGAAGATCATTATGTACAACGTATCATATGTGTAATTTTCATTTAATCTTTTGGCAAGTCCCATAAGGCTGACATTGTCATTCCCATACTACAGGTAAGAAGATAAAGCTCAAAAATTTGATCTTCTCAGGAGCACACAAGTAGTAAGTTCTAGAGCTATAACTTTAACTCAGGTTTGACTTCAAAGCTGTTTCCCTTAAAGCTGTTTCTATAAAAATTTGATTTCATCTTATAAGCCTTAAAAAAATAAATCTCTGAACCCTGACAATTATTTACAACAAGAAATCATACTGAAAGAAAACAATCTGCATTCACTCTTGCCTGCTTTATTACATAATTTTTTTTCTGAGAAAGGTTTGGTTAATTTATACCCTTTCTGAGTAAGGTGTGACTAATTAATACCCTCCAGCAATGAAAGGGGTTCTACCTCTGAGCTTTTTTTCTTTCATTTAAAAAAAGAATGAATGCTTAATCTACTGAACACTCCAGATTTTAAAAAAACAACGTATGTTGAAGATATATAAACTTGAATATGTAGTGGGAGAGCAATTTAAAAGGACTCCCAAGGTTTCTAGCTTTTTTCATCTGAATTTCTGCATAATACAGGAATCAACAGGATGAAAGAACCCTTGCCCAAAGAGGCCACACAAACAATAAGTAACTTTCATGATTCTTGTTTTCTGTCTTGAATTCCAACATTTGCTCAAATTTACACATGCCACATACTGGGCCAATCCTGTCTTAACAAAAATAACACCATTCTTTTATATAAATGATTTAATCAGTTGTACATAAAAAACTTTTTGAAGACATGGGGTCTCACTATGTTGCCCAGCCTGGTCTCAAACTCCTGGCCTGAAGTGACCCCTCTACCTCAGCCTCCCAAGTAGCTAGGCCAATAGGGGAAACACCACTGCAACCAGCCAATTCTACATAACATTTTGATAAGATTTTCCTAAGACCTCAGTTCTTTTACAACAACTTAAAATTCAAACTAATCTCAATATATTATCTTTAGATTCATTTCAGAAATTAAGTTGTATATAGTGACAAAGAAGCCAAATCTGTTTCTTCATACAATATGCTTATCATCAATGTCAACATTAAATTTAATCATTTGGAGAGTTTTCCTTTTATAAATATAGAATGAAAAACTTGCAATACAACTATTAAACAAAATTTACTTAACAAATATCAAAGTCTCCATAACTGCTTTCCATAATACTGAAAAATATATATGTGATACTTTTTACAGGGCAACAAAAGCCTAATTCAGCACTAGTTCAGGACTAAATCAGAAATGTGGATTTTGTTTTATTTATTTTTTGTTTTGTTTTATAAAATGAGGCAGGGTCCCGCTATGTTGCCCAGGTTGGTCTCAAACTCCCAGGCTCAAGCGATCCGCCTGTCTCAGCCTCCCAAAGTGCTGGGATTACAGGCGTGAGCCACTGTACCCGGCCAGAAATATGCGTTTCTAGTCTTAGAGTGCTGACTTCCTCAACAAAATCCAATTCTTTCAATTCATTTTATTTTATAAAAAGATAAATGTATCTCTAACCTAAATGTGTTAAGAAAGAATCTGAACATTTACCAAACATTTAAATGTCATAAAAGGGCTTACTTCAATTTTATCAATATACACGGCTAGTAAAAAAAATAATAATAATTACACTAGGCTTTTTTTAAAAAATTAATTTATCTAAAATTTTGGGAAAATATTGTTCTAACTACCTTTTTCCAGTCTTCTGATGGAATATAATCTTCATCTTCTTCAGATTCTTCTTCTACTTCACTATCTAGAATAAATAAGACACCAATACTATAAAATGACTGCTTATCCTGTCTACATCTATATACCTATATATTATTTTTACATCTATCGTCAAATATTTGAATATGCTCAAAGGTAACTAATGAATTAAGCCAAGATATTTCTAACCAAATAATTAACACCCTACCACTTAAAAAAACCAAAACCAAAAACCCATGAACTTTCTACACAACTGTATTCTCATGAAATGATTTCCTATAAAAAGTTAGGGGAAAAAACTGATTTAAAATCAAGATAATATTATCTTACTACATATTTTATGACAGTTTATTTTTCTTCAAGTGTTTTTCTTCCTTTTAAAGTAGAGAAATTTAGGTGTACTTATGAATATACCTACAACAGGCTAAGAGGCAAAGAAAGAAAAAAATGTCAACGAAGGGAAAGACTATGAGAAATAAAAAGTGACCATGAAACAAACATTTAAAGACAGGGCAAGGAAAAAACAAATACACCCAACGTCAAGTAGTACATGATACAATTACTATAGCATATTCATTAACAACAGGGCTCCTGCATTGCTAAATTTATAACTTACAACAAAATCCATCTACTGTTGAAAGGAATTTCAGACTAAATGAATTCAAAGATCAGTTAAAAAATGAGCATTTTAGGTAATACTTCAAATAGTAAAAATTATATTCAAGTATTAGCAACCAATAACACTTACTTGTATCAAAATATTTACATCGACGTGGGCGGATTATTTCCTGGGCATCTTGAGAAGCAACAGATTGTGATGGATCATCATTGGAAGACTGAGTTTCATCTTCCTGACCGGATGAATCCTTTATATTCTCCTCCTATGGAATAATAAAATTAAATTTCTTTAAGATATAAAGAAAACTGTTACAGATGAAAGGCCGTAGCATATATATTTTGTTCTAATATAAGTAAAAGACTAAGATGAATATATTAGATGTAATATGGTATTCTGGGTTAGGTCCTGCAATAGGAAAAAGTATATTAGCAGAAAAACTGGCACAATTCAATCTGTAGCTTGGTTAATAATTCAATCTGTACCAAGATGTTAACCTTAGCAGAAGCTGAGGTAAGAATATACAGGAACTTTCTATACTAGCTTTAAACCTTTTATAAATCTAAAATTATCTCAAAATAAAATAAGGAAAATAAACAAAAACTGCCAATTAGCCTTTATTATTTAAAAGCAATAGCATTTTTTGGGAAGTTGGTATAAATTAATTAGAATAAGCACTGGGAAAAAAATCTGAATAACAAGATCAAACTGTAATCTCTCAGGAGTAGATTACAGGGGATTTCCAATTTTTATATTATGAATTTCTGTAATATCTTAATTTTTAACACTTAAAATCAAGAAGAGTAAAGATTATAAAAACAAGTAATCCAAATATAGAAGAAAAACTTTAACTTCAACAAGAATAAAGACTACAATCTTGAATATATGTATATAGACTTACTTTATTTTCCCCACTACAGCCACTGTTGTCATCATTATCAGCATCTTCATCATCTTCACCTTCTTCTTCCTCTTCCTCCTCTTCGTCATCTTCTTCAGGTAGTCGAACAGTACTACCATAACCATAAAGGCTGAGAAGTTCATGAATTGGCATGTCGCCTTCCTAAATAAATAAAAATAAAAATTAATGTCTGAATCAGTGTTATTTCTGATTCCCAGGCTATAATCTACAAATCTGTGGAGTATTCATTCTATCCTGAAGAATAAGAGCTGTATCATGAATTATCAGATCATAAAAAGCAAAACTGAAAATATTTCTGAAACCTAGAAATATATCAATCTTTTAAGTATTTCTATAAAACCAACCAATTCTAATTGCTAACAAGATCTTTTAAATATAATTAAAAAGTGGCCTTGGCTTGGCACCGTGGCTCAAGCCTGTAATCCCAACACTTTGGGAGGCCGAGGCGGGTAGATAACGAGGTCAAGAGATCGAGACCATCCCGGTCAACATGGTGAAACCCCGTCTCTACTAAAAATACAAAAAATTAGCTGGGCATGGTGGCGCGTGCCTGTAATCCCAGCTACGCGGGTGGCTGAGGCAGGAGAATTGCCTGAACCCAGGAGGTGGAGGTTGCGGTGAGCCGAGATCGCGCCATTGCACTCCAGCCTGGGTAACAAGAGCGAAACTCCATTTCAAAAAAAAAAAAAACGGCTTTGGTTTAACATGGACTATTCTTTTTGCAGTCAATTCAGTATATGCACAATGTCAGTTAACACTATGCATGGATGCCCACTCTTAATAAGAGTACCATACTTAATTTGAGGGTGGAGAAATAGAACAGTAAGAAATTAGACTATATATAAACTCAGAAAGGGAGATGAAATTGATAGCTCAGCCCGAACACATAAAAAAAAAAAACCCACAAACAAACCAGTAATAATATACAGAAATAATAATGGATTACATTAACCATATATTCTTTTCTATGGTTATCTCCATTTACATATAAAATCATCTCTTACAATCCTTAACATCTATCAAGGCTGGCAGAAAAGCATTTCTTCAAAAAAATCACACAAGTTACAAGCAGTAGATCCAGATTTAAAAAGTCTAACTCCAAAAGCTCATACACATATCAATACACCACGGTGCCTCATTCAGGGACTTCCCTCAATCCCCACAAAAACAGACCCTCTGTGGATGAAAAACAAATGTCCATATGCAATGAAATGAAATCAGCTTTCTATACAAAATACTCACTCTAACTAGTATACAAGAAATGTACAGTATCAGGGAAACATGACAGAATTCTGATTATAAAAAGAAAATTTAATCCAAATCATGTGAAAATAGTATACACTCATGTAACACACACATACAATGCACAAGCTCTGAAGTCAGAGAAGAATCAGTTTAGAAACTAGAAAAAAAAGGGTAATCATAAAATAAGACATGGATCATATTTCTCCAGCACTCATGGAAAGAAATAAAGAAATAAGTCTGGCTTATGTGTTAAACACATTGCCACAATGGATATGGGTAAATCAGACTGGATTACCACCTTCACTCGAAATCCATGTGCAAGAAGAAATTAATTATTATAATTTGGAAAAATTTTCTTTCTTTCTTTTTTTTGAGACGGAGTTTCACTCATTACCCAGGCTGGAGTGCAATGGCGCAATCTCAGCTCACTGCAACCTCTGCCTCCTGGGTTCAGGCAATTCTCCTGCCCCAGCCTCCTGAGTAGCTGGGATTACAGGCACACGCCACCATGCCCAGCTAATTTTTTGTATTTTTAGTAGAGGCGGGGTTTCACCATGTTGACCAGGATGGTCTCGATCTATTGATCTTGTGATCCACCTGCCTCGGCCTCCCAAAGTGTTGGGATTACAGGCGTGAGCCACCGCGCCCGGCCTTGAAAAAATTTTCTTATGAATAGGAAGAAAGTGTCATGCAAAACTTCTATTTCACATTACATATGGATATTCTGGTTATCAATGAGTTTGTGGATCTATTTCGGAAAGATAAATCATTTCCAAGACCCCTAACGATTTGCAGAAGCTACAACCTGAAAAGTGGTAACGTTATCAAGGCAAGGTATTGTCATTCCAGCTAAATAACCAGCTGGCAAACAACTGACAGCTCTTATACTGTGGTTCTCAAAGTACAACACAAACAGTGCTTTAAGTGTTCAAGCATCTGGTCCATATACCGAGGACCTGGTACAGGACACTGATATTTGGGAATCTAAGGAAATCAGTACTTAGGAACTAAAACAAAACTTCAAAATAAGAGATAGAAGTGCAATAAGAGAAAGATAACAAAAAGGCTAGTTTCATTTATTTTATTTTTTGAGACAGGATCTTCCTCTGTCATCCAGGTTGGAGTGCAGTAGCATAACCGCAGCTCACTGCAGCCTCAACCCATGGGGTTTAAAATGATCCTCCCTCTCCTCAGCCTCCCAAGTAGCTGGGATCATAAATGTGTACCACCATGACTGGCTAATTTTTGTATTTTTCATAGAGATAGGGTTTCATCATGTTACCCAGGCTGGTCTCAAATACCTAGACACAAGCGATCTGCCCACCTTGGCTTCCCAAAATGTAGGATTAGAGGCATAAGCCACCATGGCCAGCTAAAGTTAGTTTAATACAAAAGAATAACAAATAGCTGCCATAAAGTGTCTTCTATGTGTCATGCATTTGTGATAGGTGCTTTGATTTCACTGTCATCTTTTCTTACAACAATGAAAGCAGTGCCAAAACATTACACAATTTAATTAGATCTTTAAAAGTACCAAATGGGCCGGGCGTGGTGGCTCAAGCCTGTAATCCCAGCACTTTGGGAGGCCGAGGCGGGTGGATCACAAGGTCAACAGATCGAGACCATCCTGGTCAACATGGTGAAACCCCATCTCTACTAAAAATTACAAAAAATTAGCTGGGCATGGTGGCGCGTGCCTGTAATCCCAGCTACTCAGGAGGCTGAGGCAGGAGAATTGCCTGAACCCAGGGGGGCGGAGGTTGCAGTGAGCCGAGATCGCGCCATTGCACTCCAGCCTGGGTAACAAGAGCGAAACTCCGTCTCAAAAAAAAAAAAAAAAAAAAGTACCAAATGGAGCGCTTGCTACACCTTTATTTGCAAGTAAGGAAACCAGGCAAAGAAACATCATGCACTGATAGAGACTTTATTCTAATACCCAGACCTCCTAATCTCAGGTCATGCAACTTTTCGTAAGCTCATATGCTATACCCCAAAATCAGAAGCAAGTTTAGTAACTGGTCACTATTGTGAATAAAAGGCACTAAAGTCACTAGTATGAGTAAGGGCCCCCAAAGAAAAACAACTTTAACTTAACAGTTTGCAACTAAAATTTACAGAAGCCTCAAGAGTTCATGAAGAGCTTGTTCCACCATTTATTTGATCTTCAAAACTCTCCTAATATATTACTACTTTAATTTTTATAACTGTGTTAATTAATCCTTTGAAACCACACAGCTAATTACACAACCATGCTCTGTTTTGAACTCATCTTCTGACAAGACCATGGAACTTAGTTCATTCCCCCCAAAAAAAGAGGTGTATTATCAATCAAATAAATGCCCCCTCAATTGTACCATTGGTCTGTCTTATTAAGGGCATCAGAGTTACCTTGAGGGATTACTAAAACAGGCTGCTGAGCCTCACCCAAGTTTCTGATCTAGTAAGTCTCCAGTGAGGCCCAAGAACATGCATTTAAAAAAATAATCTCAGGTGATGCTAATACTGCTGTTATGAGACCACCCTGCAAACAGGTCTTATCCTAATCTCACAGGTCTAGGATAAGATACTTGCAAATAACCCTTTCCAATGGGAGGTAATAAAGCTTGAACATTATCTTTAATAAAGCTTATCATATGATATATGATACCTAGCTAAAATATTTGTAAAACAAAAAAAATAGGTGACATTAACTACACGGAAAAAATTTTTTCTTTGTTAACCATTGTCAAGAATGCAAAATGTCTGATAATTATAGATTAAGATTTTTCCCACTTGGATATACGTATGAGAAGTATGACTCACTTTACAAAATTCATTTCTCAGGCCAAGCGTGGTGCCTCACGCCTGCAATCCCAGCACTTTGGGAGGCTGAGGCGGGAAGATCACTTGTGGTTAGGAGTTCGAGACCAGCTTAGCCAACAAGGCAAAAGCCCATCTCCACTAAAAATACAAAAACATTAGCTTGGGCATGGTGGCACACACCTGTAGTCCCAGCTACTCAAGAGGCTGAGGGAAGAGAACTGCTTGAATCCAGGAGGCAGAGGTTGCAGTGAGCTAAGATCGTGTCACTGCACTCCAGCCTGAGTGACAGAGTAAGACGGAGGGAGGGAGGGAGGGAAAGAAAAAAAGAAAGAGAAAGAGAGAAAAAGAGACAGAAAGAAAGAAAATGAAAAGAGGAAGGAAGGGAAGGAAGGAAAAGAAAAAAGAATAGAATTCATTTCTCAAAGAAAAATTCTGCAGCACTTCCAATATTGACTAAGCAGAGAACAGAAAAAGTCAAAAGTGGACTTTTGCTTCAATTACAATCATAATAGAACTGGCACAAATGGAGAAAAGTCATTCAAGTCAGAGCAAATGACAAATGTACAGGTATAGAAACAAAAATGAATAATCCGGTCACCATGATTGGAGCAGACATACCATTTATACCAACTAAGAAAAAAAAAAAAGAAGTATCATTTTAGAAGTCCATACATTACTAAAAGAGCAGTTATAGACTAATGAAAGTCAGGATTACTATTTTTACCTACTTTCTCTAGTTTTACCTGATTTTTAAAGGGTTATGTTCTACTCTTGACTCAATTTGAGAGTAGTTATTGAATAGTTACTGACACTGTGCAAGTATTTAGGGGAAATTACACACAACAAAATACTCAACATGAACTCAGGCAGGGAAAAATTTAGTTTGCTTGCCAAGGAGACAGAATCAAGAGGGAATCCATTGCTATCATTCACTGCACATTCACCTGTATTATGATCAGAACCTAAATTAAATTAGTAGTTGTAGAAAAGAAAAAACTGAAGAGACCCAGCAGGATTCAATCAGGGATTAGGGGTGATGGAGGTCCTGGAGATGCTGAATCCCTGGTTCCACATATTCCTTGGTCCTTGGACCG